TTCTAATCTATAATACAGCAATCAAAAAATCAATAGATTGATTTGAAAGATCGATGGAACCACTTCTCATCTCGTAGGACGAGATTATGAAGGTTCCATTATTTGCACCATAAATAGAAAACGGGCGTTCCCGCTAATAAGCGGTGGATCCAAACTCCCGCCATCAACGTGGCGGAATGGAAAATCATTCCTTTTGGTCCTTGCGCGATTCCTTTCGGCCTACAGTAGAGAAGACAATCAATTCTTCCGATCAATCAGTTTTTGCAGATTACAATAGATGGTGTGGAAATCGACAAGATTAACATCGAGTTCCTTCGAAATTACGTCGGAGTCGTCTCACAAGAGCCGATGCTTTTCAATACAACGATTGAACAGGTTGGTCCATCGGTGAAAGACCTGTTCCTCTGAAGACACTCCCTCATTCAGAACATCCGCTACGGACGAGAGAATGTCACCGACGCGGAAATCACCGCTGCTCTACGTAAAGCAAACGCTTATAACTTTGTACAGTCGTTCCCTGATGTGAGTGACAGAAGACCATCTTGTTGGAAGAGGTTTCCAGACTGCGCACACTTCTTTTCAGGGGATCTATACGAACGTTGGTGACCGTGGTACCCAGATGTCCGGTGGCCAGAAGCAGCGCATAGCCATTGCTCGTGCGTTGGTCAGAGATCCGAAAATTCTCTTGCTGGATGAGGCCACTAGCGCCCTCGACGCCGAAAGTGAACACATTGTTCAGCAAGCGCTGGAGAACGTAAGTGTCGAAGCGCTTGTCTGAGAAATCATTGAGTAAATCTATTGTGTCAGGCGTCCAAAGGAAGAACTACCATTGTGGTTGCTCATCGATTGTCGACAATTCGAAATGCTGACAAGATTGTTGCCATGAAGAATGGAGAGGTATTGTGAAATGTGGTTTTTTTTTCTAACAGATTCAAAGAAAAGTCGGTTACTTCCCAGGTGATGGAAGTCGGCACCCATGATGAGCTGATCGCCCGCAAAGGACTATACCATGAGCTGGTCAATGCCCAGGTGTTCGCCGACGTGGACGATAGTAAGTTACCCCTCTTTTGGACAAGAGCCATCGACGGTTGAATCTTCAAGTCCCTCCTCATTCCCGTTGTTACAATATAATGGGATATTGGGAAATTTTCGAGCTGGAACTGGGCATATTGCCCAAGCCCGAATTGATCCTCTTGCACGTAATTATCTCGCAAAGATGGCGATAGTGAATCTCTTTCTCAGGAAACCAATATAAGGTCAGATGGTAAAATCTACAAATTGGTACTCATTCCTTATTAACAGATAGAGCCGTTGAATTGCGCACAATTTGACCTATCTATAGAGGGATTTGGAAGCGTACAACACAAAAGGAAACTTGGCACTCGCCGCACTCTAGCTTCACTTAGTGGGTTACTTGGCAAGGGCCGTATAGATTCCACCAACATGTCCGATTACGGAATTTGGCTGACTGGGAACGTGAGTAAGACGCTCTGAAACGGACCGGGCGGGTGCCCAATATCCTCTGAGTGGTTGGAAACCAAACCAGAGCATCTCGCCCATGTCTTTGACGTGATGTTTGTATGCTGCATCTACGGTCGATTCCCTCGATATACATATACTGCAAAACCTTTGTTTTAAGAAAGTGGCGAGCCGGGCGATCGACGGCGTACGATGTCATCTTCACGTTCGAGATCTCCATCATTAGCCTCACCCGAATATAAGGTACAGACTTCTAGGCCATATCTTGACCTCATTCCGTGATCATTTCTGCCTTTCAGCGGCTCAAGTCTCAAATGTCCGTAACCGAAAATACTGCTGGTGGAGGTGCTCAGAACGATCCAGTGAAAGCAGAGAAAGACTTAGAACGTCTGAAGAAAGGTGATTTTGCCTATCCTCCTCCTTTACCGTCATAAGTCGATGAAACCCCTTTCTTCTCAGAACTGGAAGAGGAAGGTGCCGCCAAGGCGAATCTTTTCAAAATTCTCGGCTATGCTCGACCAGAATGGCCATTTATCGCCCTCGCCGTTACTTCTTCGATCGTTCAAGGCTGTGTTTTCCCAGCATTCTCACTCTTTTTCTCGCAAATTATCGACGTACTGTTCATACTTCTCCTCTTTTGATTTCTCCAATCATTTGTTTCGTTCAGGTGTTTTCCAAGCGACCAGGTGACCCTACGCTCAAAAGCGACGGTCATTTCTGGGCACTTATGTTCCTCGTGCTGGGTGGCACTCAAGCGATGACCATGCTCATTCAGGTATACCTTACTTTCAATGAATGTTTCGGGTCAATGCTGACCTTTCTTTCCAGTGCTTCTTCTTCGGTTTGTCAGCCGAACGGCTCACAATGCGATTACGATCAAAGATTTTCCGAAATGTGATGAGAATGGATGCCACCTATTTCGACATGTCTCGCCATTCAGCTGGAAAGATCACTACCCGCTTAGCGACAGACGCACCAAACGTGAAATCGGTAGGGTCGCTTCTCATGGCGCATCATTTGCTCACAGTCGTCCCGTCATTCTGGCGTTGATATGTTCTTTAGGTTTAATAGTAATCTATTTTGTCGGAAAAGCCCAGGTAGCGTTTGAGGAGTGCAGCTGTCGCTCTAACTCGCTTGATATCGCTTATTATCGTATGTGTCACCGTATCTTTTGCGATATCCCACCCATCATTATGCGCTATGGCTTGACTTCGCTTCCTGCCGTCTGTTGTCCTTTAGTATTGCTCATTGTTACCGGCTGCTTTCATAGTCCGCGATTTGGCCCGCGGCGAGCGCGCGAGCGAGCGATTAGGGCGGGGCTTGCCTCTTGTTACAATTGTATCTTGGTCGATACCGCCGGACGAGTAGTCCCCGGCTGGCTCACGTGCTCGCTCGCGGACTATAAAAGCAGCCATCGACTGAAGTCTACTATACTTACGTAGAGAAAACTTGCGTTATACCAAACTGCTAGATCAGAAAGGACCCGGTGGAAATTTTCGCGTAGGAGTTTCATGTTCCAATCACCTTTGAGTACCTTTCCCTCTTCTCTACTAATTCCATTTATATCTTGGTTATTGCTATTTAGTAATTGCCGGCATTTGTAGAGCTAAATCCACCAAGATTTTTATAAATTGAAGACCTTCAGGCTCTTGACTATCGTTTCGGTTCGGTCTTTAGTTCAGTCGTTTCCATATGCTGTGGTATAGGTATCGCGTTCTATTTTGGATGGCAGATGGCACTTTTGGTAAGTAAAGATTTCAAAGCGGTTAGATGCTGACTGACTGCCTGAAATGTCCATACATTTCAGACAATCGCCATTTTCCCGTTAGCTGCTGTGGGGCAAGCGATTCAGATGAGGTTCATGTCTGGGCGTGCGACAGCCGATGCGAAAGAGATGGAAAACAGTGGAAAGGTGGATCCACATCTGATGAATGGGTCAATTAATCGAATATCATAGAAGGCCATTCCAGATTGCCATGGAAGCCATCGAGAATATTCGAACGGTGCAAGCATTGACGTTGGAGCGTCGGCTCCATGCCCAGTTTTGTCATCATCTAGACGGACCGCACAAAACCAGCAGGAGGAAGGCTCTTATTCAGGTAGTGATGGTCTTTAACCGCATGATGCCATCCAGCTCTTGCTTTGGATGGCTATAAAAACGAAAGTACCTTCTTAGGGTGTCTCATATGGATTTGCCAGCAGCATCTTCTACTTCCTGTACGCTTCATGCTTCCGTTTCGGGTTGTGGCTCATCGTCAATGGCACAATCCACTCGATGAATGTTCTCAGGTGAGCCCAAGACTCCGCGTTCAAGCTCCTAGGAGAGGTCGGGTCGGCTGTTCTCCCGTTCAATGAATAGAACTGGACCTAATGCTCCTTTACAGGGTACTATTTGCAATTTCTTTCACTGCTGGAAGTATGGGATTTGCCAGCTCGTATTTCCCCGAGTACATTAAAGCGACATTTGCTGCCGGTATCATCTTCCACATGCTGGAAGAAGAACCACGAATCGACGGCATGACGAATAACGGCAAGAAACCGAAGATTACCGGTGCCGTCAAGCTGAATAAAGTCTATTTCAAATACCCCGAACGGCCAGATGTTCCCATACTTCAAGGACTCGACATCAACGTAAGTCAAAGTATCCGGTTCATAGAGATTCAACTAGTTCCGGTTAGGTTGGCATGCCTTCGAGTATCGGCACTCTGCTTTCAGGTGAAACCCGGCGAGACTCTTGCCCTGGTTGGTCCTAGCGGTTGCGGAAAGTCCACAGTTATATCGCTACTCGAAAGGCTCTACGATGCCTTAGACGGTTCTGTTGTAAGTACTGCCGTTTATACAAATTGCTTTCGTTTACCACTAAGTATTTCTGTTCATTTTATTGATACATTTTAACTTCTCTAGAAGGCTGGGCCCTTGATTTGGTGCTGATTCACTAAAACGTCTAGATGAATCAATCCAGACTCACAAAGCGATAGAATAGCTTGTGAACGAGTTGTGTTGACATGATGCATTCAGCGCTAACCTGGTTTGAAGTTCGGGAAGCAAGTAGTGAGATAGTGGGGCTCAATAAACGGTGTCTGAGGAACCACAGATCCTATCATCTGGACGGGTTATTGGATGAGAAGTGATGCTGGGCCGCGCTACCCCTGCACGCGTCTGATCAGAGCCGCTTTGAGAGCAACTTCTAGCTCATCATTAAAAGTCACTTTTTGGATTTGAATTTAGTAAGTTGTAAATTACTTCATTTGTAGGAAATTGATGGTAACGATCTACGTGAAGTGAACCCAACTCATCTGCGAGCCCACATTGCCTTGGTATCGCAGGAGCCGATCCTATTCGACAGATCCATCCGTGACAATATCCTCTACGGCCTTCCACCCGGTTCCGTCAGTGATGCGGCTGTGCACGAAGTCGCGCAACGTGCCAACATCCATAAATTCATCATGGACCTGCCTGATGTGAGTTCAATCCCACGCACCGGTCAGTAACAAGAGACCTTACCTGGCGTTCAAATATCCGCCATTCAGGGTTACAACACTCGTGCGGGAGAGAAAGGAACTCAATTGTCTGGAGGCCAAAAACAACGAATTGCCATCGCACGTGCCCTCATCAGAAATCCGAAAATTCTACTGCTCGACGAGGCTACCAGTGCCTTGGATACCGAAAGCGAAAAGGTACTGTTGATTTGTGATGGTCATTTTTCCGATTTCCTGTTTTCGTATAAGTGATAGAAACCAGGGGTGTTCAGGTTGTGCAAGAGGCCCTCGACAAGGCATCAGAAGGCCGTACCTGTATCGTTGTGGCACATCGGCTGTCGACTGTTGTCAATGCCAATTGTATAATGGTAGTCAAGGGAGGAAAAGTAGTTGAAAAAGGTATAGCTCACCTCTGTTGCTCAATTTTTCCATCTGGGGAGGTGAAATTGTTTCTTTCAGGAACCCACAGTGAACTGATGCAAGCCAAGGGCGCATATTGGGCGCTCACACAGAAGCAAACATTGGCCAAGGAATGAGTTCATATCCTTTTTTTTCATATGGACCTGCTCATATTTCATATCACTAACTAATCGTGATTGATCATCGTTGTTGATAGATTACATAGCTAAGGGGTGGGGTGGGCGTATGGGCGGGCGCCCATACCTTCACCCTATCCAGTCCACCTCAATACCAGTCAATCCAGGCTGTGGAATTAGGTGCTTTTGTGATGAGAGTCGTCTTGGCAGTGAGACGCGGGCGATTCGTCGTGATACGACCGCCCTACCATTTTTGCCAACTTGACCGAATATATTTTGTTAATTTCGTATTTTTTTGTGTTGATCTCGAGGCGTGTACTGTATTGAATAACGGGAATAAAATTGTTTTATTTTGCAGCTGTTAATTTGGAAAAAGTCCGTGGAATCACAAATATGAAGGGAATATGTACGCCACTTTCTCTCTGTTGGAGTCGGTGCGTTCTATGGCAATCAGGTGAAATCAGAAAAAGTCCTGTCGTCAATGACTGATAACGGGTTTTGAAAAGCTTTTCGAATATCATTTTTTCCAAGTGTCACCAGCGGAGGCAGTATTTGAAGTAGCCAACTGTAAAAAGCATCATAACCGGCTCTAGTCGTTCATTGAACAATTTTCTCTGGAAGGAATTTTCTCATTCAAAAAGAAAAATGTGCGAACCCCTTTGCTTCGATGTCATACGATATGATCTGAAACTTTTCTGATGTCTGAAAAGTTCCTGTCGACGTAGATTACTTCAAAGTAGTTTTCTTCCACTTTTTTGCTTTATTGGAATCAGGAATTTGGTAGAATACATAAATGACTAGTTGACAGAAAGGGCCTATTTTATTAGGGCCAGTTTAGGCTGGTCGTCAACCGAGAGGCCCCTCCATAGAAGTGGATCTTAGATATGATTTTTCTAGTTTTCCTTCACGTTAGAGCCTCACCTAATGGAGCGAAACTATAGGTCCAGGTGCCATCAGATAGCACCTGTGCATAGGGACCTAATGGGGTTTTCCAAGTCGGGCAAGAAAGAATCTCTGGCTCTATCAGCACAGCTGTTCTCTATGACGCCAACAACTGCGAGATTCCTTGGTGACACCACCGAAATCACCGTGACATGCACTGCCGGCTTCTTCCTTGCTGAAATCGGATACGCCTTATAGTTTTCCCCTCGAGACCTACTTATGATGGGGATTCGAAAAGGGGGAGACGAGCAGTCGGAACGGTTCTGTTTAATCGATCCGCCGCACGCGGTTGTCGCGGACCATTTGCCTCGTTATAACAGTTCTAGCGTTCTTTATACCTCATTCGCTATACGATTATTACTTATGGCAAGTTAGTTTTTTTGCTTCGGAATTTCGTACTTGCTGCTGCATTCTGCTACATTCCTTCGCGCGCGGCTTCCCTCTTGCCGCGACGCGACAATTTCGTTCCTACTGCACCACACCCCTGACAATGAGACTGCTTACTCAGTACTGCGGAATGTATTGGTTGCGCTCTGACTGTCTCTATCTTTAACTGGTGTGATTTATAGCAAGAACGCTTTTCGAAAGTATTTAATTACATCACGAAGGTAAAAAAAATTGCCTCTGCCATATAAATGGTGTAAATGTCGCTGATAAGGCAGAATCATTTGCACCACACCATGCCACTGATATTCATATTAATCATGCAATGAATTTCCAACCAAATGACTAATTCAGTGTTTTCATTTTTATTTTTATTACTCATTAATTTCAACTTTTGCTACCATAATCCAATGTTTGACCTTTCAAATTCGAAAGCTTGAAAGTTCTGGGAAGGCTACCACGATTTTGTGCCGTTGTAGGCCATGCGATTTGACCATCAGCTCGATCCGGAGCGTTTTTGGCCTTTCCCTTTCGTGAAGGTGTCGTTCAGTTTGGCTTTCTTGGAGTTTATTTTAATTTCTGATTTAATTTTGATTTTTTTATGCTCATAAAACTTTTGTTTATTATCAACGATAGTCAGTGGTCCCTCATATTCGTGAATTTGACATTCGATTAGGAAGAAAGATAATTTGCAAGTTCTTAGTTCGATTGATCTTTACGTCACACCAAATTCATCATCCTCAGTCTTAGTTGTCCATCAACATTCCGTAGTAGTTCGGAACAGACCCAACACGCTCAACACGACAGTATCGAGAGGTACTCCACCGTTAAATGTAGTTCGGGGAGAGGGGTAGGAAGACACTGAACTGTACTCTTCGTCGCTAGCCCCAAGCAGGGACTGCCTGGCTTAACGGGCTTGCAAAAAGGTTTCTAAGTGTGACTAATAGGAGGGTGACTTTTTGCCTGAGCTTAAGGAGGGAAGAAGTACCGGGGTGATTGGTATCTTCCTAAAAAGCTCGAATGGGAGATAAGAATAGCCCACTGGCATGCTAGTATTACTGGAGAGAGAGCACGACTAAGGTCAGAAACATGTGTAAGTGCATTCGAGTACAGCGACCCTGTTAACTACATCTTCACTTCAACCTTATCTAAACCTCACACTTGCACTTATTTTATAGCTAGACCTGCATTCTACTTCTTTTCGCCCTTAGTTCAGTATTATGACTTGTGCTACTATTTCCGAAACTGCTGCTTCCGTGAGTTTCGTTAAAAGTACGGTTCTTCTTCTTCGTATTGTTCTGTGACGTATATGATTCATTTTCCCTTTCTTTCAAGCATAGAAAAAGACCAATTCTTCAAACTTTTGGCTCATTTACAGCGAAAACCCAGCTCTAAACGCAGTCGAGACCCCACGAGACGATCATATGTAAGTTCGTCAAAGGTCGAAAGCTGCTCGTTTCCATTTGATCATCATTCACCGAACTGTGGTTCAGAATATGCATACTTCTCCGTTTTTTAGTCTCCCAGAATGAAACATTTCACTTTTTGGTTGTTTGGGTTTTGTTTGGCTCAGATTTGTCTCAGATCCGATGTTGTTTGGTTTGGTTTACGGATGCATAAGCATGAAGCTCACTGCTTTATTCCTGAAAGAATGAATCATTTCGAAACAGGAGCTGTCCAAACAATTTATTGTCTGTATACAGCCAACCCGATAGGGCTAGAATCTCTCTCTTTTTATTGCATGATCATCGCATTTGGTTAAATCGCCGAGTGATGCCCTTTTTTGTAATCGACAAAGGCAAGCATAGCTGTGGTTCGCCATTGATTATCACTGAATTATCTAAACAATAAACAATGGAGGTGTAAGGTTGATGAAGAGGAGTGAGAAAAGATCAGAAGATTAACGCATTTTTAGAGCTAGATCGTGCCATAGCGTGGCATACGAAAGAGAATGAGGTCTTCTTGAAAGCAACTCATCTCGGCGGTCGAATTTGCTTCTTATTGTTAGGAAACTATCCATGTGGGAGGGCTAGAGGCTTTCCCACATGGGACTTTCGTTTACCAGTCTGGCTGTTTGGCATACGATACTTCCTATTGACCATGACTATTCCTTTTGCGAGATACAAATAACAAACAAATGTGACTTTGACAAATGTAACTTTGAGACTAAATGTTCGGTTCCGGTTTATAAAAACAATGATGGCGCTAGAAAAACGGTAGATGCTTACTGGATAAGGCCCTGAAATCCAAGGATGAATGTCATAAATGAGTGGCTCAAATGGTGACCTCTTGCCCTACATCCCTCTGCCCTAATGAGAAACAATGCACGAGATGTCTCGGGCTATTAATGAGGCGTCTACGACCATCTGTTCCATCGTTCTCGCAGTTAAGCAAGTGCTCGGTGTTGGTGAAATTGTGCCGTAGTTTCAATTGTTTCAATTCCAGTTGGTTTCCAATTTTCCTTTGCCTGAGTTGCAACTAGTCAGGAGAAGGTCTGCGTCAAGTACGTAGCGTGACATTCCTAGACGTTTCGGAACGTTTTTAGGTCTTCAAGGTCGGTAAAAATTTGACAAAACGTCAAATGAAATAAATGTTCTGAATGTTTATCCTCAAAAAAAAGCACTTCGTCCTAGAATCTCGTAAGGTTGAGGGTATGTTTTCAAGACGACTGCTCTCTCTCTGCTCTTTAGAATACGGGATCAATAATGCCGCTGTCGTACTCGCTCGTCTTCTTTTTACTACAATGCTTTTGAGGCGATTTCTTCATAAAAGTTCGTCCGATTTCCAACTTGACCCTTTTCTGAAAAGTTTTGTCATTGAGAAAACCTGTACAACCTTTTTTGCTCCTTTTTACTGAGAAATTCCGCATCCATGGGAGCTGGCGATGCAGATATAATCTCAGGTAACCATCCTACCCTAACGCCATAAGGATTGACTGTTTTCGATGGTCTTTTGGACTTTGTTTACCCCTAGATTCAAAGATCTTTACTCTCGCCCCAGTGGCCTTGTGAAGTGCCCTATACTGATTGTTTTGCAACTCCATTTCAGCTTTATCGCTTCATGCCCAAGATCTGTTTAGGTCGATCTCTTCCGTTGACTTGCTGAATTCGTAGCTATTGTAGAAAACAAATTCAGGGGGCATGGTTTCCTGTACAAACTTTTCTCAAGAGGCAACAATTTTTTTTTCTTGGTAATTGACCGGCATTTTTGTTGTGACTATTTCCTAGCAGGATTCATTGTTAAGATTGTCGCCACTGCACCTTGTCATCAGTCAAAACTTTGCTGGAAATTTGGCTCGGCTTTTACTTGATCGAGCTCAAGATGTTTAGATCCGTTCTCGTTCTCACCACATTTATTGAGCCTATTTTCTTCTCGATGAAAGTAAATGTCGTGTCGTCGCTATTGAATCAAGATTACATGGTCATCTACCAACAATCCTGCCTTTTTAAATTCTCATTCTTCCGGTTTTTTTTTCCTTCGAAAGGTGTGATTTCTTCGCTTCTTCAGTCTGCGCATGTACCTGTGCTACACTTGAAGCCTAACATTTTCAACGGCCTAACATTTTAACAGCCTAACATTTTCTCAAATTTCCTTACGCGCTCATTCAGCAAGAATAAATGAATTTTTCTTATTTTTCTAAGGTTGATATGTCCTGATCTTCTTTGTTACCTCGTAATCTTTGTTTCCATTACACACTAATCTCGACCTCATTGTTTTGATGCAAGTGCTCTAGTTGCTCTTCCTCTCTGTTTCAAAAAACAAATTGCTTCGACTGAGCAACGATATCGATAACGTTTATGTTCTTCAGGAACTTTCTCAATCAATAGCTGACATTACTGTTTTGCTATAACTTTACCTTCCATTTACAGGTCTTAGTGATCCTGAGCTTTGCTTTTTGGTCAGTGTTCTTCCTCAAGCCAATCAAAATACCATTGTAAACTAATGTTCTACTTCTTTCTCTTTCTGTGTCGCTAAAGTTCTTTCTTTCTCTTCCTTTATTCAATTTCTCATGTGATATTTATTTATTTATCATTTAGTTTTTATATTCATTTATATTATTCTTCTTATTATGCTATATCAGTCTCTCACTAGACAGATGTATAGACAGATAGATTATACATAAAATATTTAATAGTTATTTCTCTGTTCTGTACCTCTCAAGCGTCTCACAACAAATTCGCCAAGTACATTACCGTGACATACACCGTTGTAATCTGTTTCGAGATATTCAGTCGATAGTCGAAATTTTCTAGATCATATGGGTTTCTTGAAGAAGAAAGGGAAAGCAGCCGATAGCAAAGAGTCAGAGAATGACAACGAAGAAGAAAAGTAGGTTTTTTCTAGTTGTCATATTTGCCAGATATCGCCATCGTGACAGTTTATCGGCAAATAGTAAAAACACATCATAAAGTGGCTGCGCCGTTGCTCCCTGACACTACTCCAAACCACAAAAGCAACTGTCCCCTTTGTTTGATACAACACTTCAACCAAGAAATAATGACGGTTCGAAGGAAAGCACTGTACAGGCATAGCAATAATACACTAACCAGTCATTTGAAGCGTCTTTGAGCGATGAGCTGCTTTTCGTGGGTTATAGGTTACATTGCTAAGTATAATACGTAGGACCATATGGCCTTCATGAAGAGAACCACGCCTTCGAGCCCAACTTCCATAAAAAATTAGCTCAAATGCTGCTACCCAAGGGGGACTGCTCAAAATGGAAGGGAATTACTAGGTCCTGGTTCACTTGACTTCGACCGTAACCTAAGCTTTGTTCATGGTCTACCCTAAAAGCTCCTCTAGCATTCTGGGTAATCAGCAGCATACCGTGATAGCCCAAGAATTCCTTGCAAAGGTTGAAAAGCTCCACGACTGTTCTGCCCACTAAACTATCGCTGCACCATTTGTGCACCAACTATCGAAAATCTGTGAGATCGGAACAAGCTCAGAAGACTTTTTTGCCATCAATGATTGTACGATTCACCTCTTACGATTCTAGACCGAATTTGGACTCATCCAAATAAGCTTCTTAAAAAGTAGTTCTTGAAAAGTATACTTGTACCGGAATCTGAACGATAGGGGCTTCTTTTCTTTTATCAATACTCCGATAGGAAACAAAAAACCACAGCCTTTACACAGAGGGAGCCCTACTCATCAATTATCAGAATTAGAGCGATTCTTTCGGCTTATCTGAGCCGTTTTCGTCTGCACATGATTGATCAGAACATTACTGCGGAATAAAAAAAAATTAATGACATCTCGATAAAACATCAGAGATCACACTTTACTGGTGTTTTTTAGCTCGACTTACCGGCACAGTTCGCATAGATTCTGAGGTACCTGTTTAAAGTAAATAACAGAAGTGGTGTAGAACCTACGTTGTTAACATGCTAACAGCATGCAGTAAAGTAAGTAAAGTAAGAATGGTGCATCGATGAAGAAGGGCGTTAACGTCACCGACAAAGTCCTTGCCGTCAATCAACCCCGTTCGAGGGATGCACCGCTGCATTCGGCTCACGCTCAGAATGGTAGTGACATTTCGAAGGCATATGTGGTCTACTCTATACAAGTAGCCAGCCGATCTACAAGTCGGTGCTCTCATCCTCTCAGCCGAGTCCGATACCAATCATCCGACCCGAAAAGAGTGTAAGGCTCGATTGGCCAGGGCGAGTATCGATCCCCATCCCATACAAGTGTGGTAATGCGCCACTTGCTACTACAATTCCGCGGTCTCCCATAAATTCTTTTCAACACAGATTCAATAACGCATTGTGCTAATGAGTAGAATGAGAGCATATGAAAAACCTCGTCTAAAAACATAAGCTGCTTGGTAAGGAATATGCTTGCGCTCCCAATTCGACAATCGTTACTGTCAATTTCAGGAATGATGATGCACCGAAAGCCAGTATCCCACAACTGGTTCGTTTCTTCTGTCCTTTCCTAGTCCTTTGAACGTTCCATTTTCTTTTTTTACTTTACATTACTTTACCTTACCTTACCTTGCCTCATATTTTCTTCCTTTCCTTTGCTGCCAACTTTTTTCCATTCTTTTTTTTTTCTCAAAGTTTTCAGAAACCAGTGATAATTCTTTCAGTTCCGTTACACAACCACATTCGACAAGATGTTGCTCTTAATCGGTTCAACTGTCGCTATGGGTACTGGTATGGGACTTCCAATGATGGCTATTATCATGGTAAGGCATGAATTCAGCGCGGATTACGGAAAGAGTGGGCAGAGGTGCGGGGATGGCAGCTGGCTCCGCTACCATAACCTCCGGATTGGGCGCAAGTGTAACCACCTTCCCCAAGCAGGCTAAGCCTCTCACATATGTAACATCGGCTACATATAGACTTTAAAGGGCAAAAGTTTAACGCGTCCCCGTGAGTATGTATCCAAATGAATTGCCATTCTAAAGAAGGATACCTTGTCGCCTGGCCGCTTCACGAAATGGTTTGAACAGGGAAATGTAGATCCTTGAAGAAGTTGAAGCAAACCTTTTTGACAGTAAATCTATGGCGTTAAGAGGAGGGTAGCAGTGGCCAGTCGATTCGATCGGGTCTAGGTTCCCTTACACATGGTTTTGCATCAGGGAACGCAATGGTTATTGACAGAGCAGGGAAAAACCCTGCCCCACCCTAAAACCCTAAAAAAACTACCCTACCCTGAAATTGAAAGCATGGTGGTTTCCACTGGTTTTCCGTGCCATTGATCAAATATCTTATGTTCAGGGCGACATTACGCAGAACTTCATGAGTGTTAATGGAAACAGAACTTGTACGTTGCTTGTGTTTCTTCCTTTTTGCCTATCAATTTGAGTTTCAAATTTTCTTTTGCTTTTCCTTGATGACATTTAATATTTGCTATAATATCCTACCTCCTGGGAAATCCTCTAACCAAATTTACTTTCAAATTACTCTTGAAGTCTGGTCATTCCTAATCTTTGAGGAAGTTCAGAATCTTGATATGATAGTCCCGTTTGCAAGTTGATCATCGATGCTAGTTTTTCATTTTTCCAAAGGTGATTTACATTTTCAGCTTTTCAACAGTTTGAACATGACGTGATCCAAAACTGTTTGAAATACGTCTACCTCGGTTGTGGAATATTCGCGGCAGCAACGATTCAGGTATAGTCGGCTACCTCTGAACGATGCAATTTGAAATGTGGGACCCATTCTCTGGGGTCTATGTATCTCTTCTATTTTGTTGTTCAGAATGAGTGAAGCATGCTTTCTCCTTTCTGGATTTTTTCCTAGTCTTTTTTTTTNTTTTTTTTTGTTCTGACTTACGGCGCACTTTTCAAGGAGTCGTGTAGTGCTCCGTTCCCGATTTTTGAATTGAGTAATTCTTCTGCCATGATCTTCAAGCCTTTTCCGAATCATTCCACCTACTGTTCACTGTGTAATGTAGATAGTAATCCATGGAAGTTGGATGTTAGACTCCGGCTTGAAAAGGAAGTGTTGTAGCCTTCGATAATGCAGGTGTATGAACCGATAGGTAAAAGGGGACCCCTTCCTAGAAAATGGGGCAAACACTGAAGGAGAGGAGATAAGACAGTGGGGGTAAACTAAGCATAAGCTCTCATCAATCTTCACTGATATCGAATTTCTGATAAAGCTCACACTCTCTTGGGAAGAACATGGGAGGGCTTAATTTGAAGAGCATCATCAACATGTGAGAAGTAATTTCGAGTAATTTCCCCTTGCATGCACATTCAGCACATTCTTTGTATCTTTGAAGGATTAGTAATGGACCTACCCGGCAGGATGTCGAGAATTCTCTGACGAAGCTTTAGGCCCACCTTGGGTAGCGGGCGAACTGCACAAGACCAGGCTTTGAGACTACTCCACATTTACCAGTTTTCCTTTTTATTCCAATCTAAAGGGTGTAGCTGTCGTGGAAACCACGCCCATGCAGTCAGAATTCCCATTGCCCTTTTTTTCTTGTATTGACTTGGTAAACTTTCTCGACTTCTGAGGTCTGCAACGATACTTTCCCCCTAGGTTGTGGACTGTTTCATTTGTTCCTCTTTCGTAAGCATACCGTAATTTGTTCATTAAGGCGACATGTTTTCTGACTGTTGGAGAGAATCTGGTGAATCAGTTGAGGCGACAGTTCTTCAAGTCAATTCTTCGCCAAGACATTCCATGGTTTGATAAGAATGGTTCAGGAACATTAGCCACAAAATTATTTGAGTGAGTAAGATCGTCCTCCTATTGGGTTAGCCAAAAAAGACCAAAATCTGTCGTTTAAGCAATCTCGAGCGAGTCAAGGAAGGAACCGGCGACAAAGTCGGTCTGATGATCCAGTATGTGGCACAATTCTTCGGCGGCTTCATCGTGGCATTCACCTATGATTGGAAACTCACGCTGATTATGATGTCCCTGGCTCCATTCATGATCATGTGCGGAGCATTCATTGCTAGGGTAAGCTAATACTTCTCTTGAATGGCGGAAGGATGAAGAGACCATGTCGAAATATTTTGAATTCAAAGGTGTCTATTACAGTTGATGGCCACTGCAGCGACTCGTGAAGCCAAAAAGTATGCAGTGGCTGGAGGAATAGCCGAAGAGGTGCTTACTTCGATGAGAACTGTTATGGCTTTCAACGGTCAGCCTTATGAATGCGAAAGGTACACTGTTCAACGATTTCGTCCTATTCCTTGATCAATCTCCTCATGGTATGCGCCCAGAATTCGAATTCGTTTCAGTATCGTAGTGGTGTATTTGAATGCGTATTTGGGCTCTACAATGACTTGCGGCTGTCAAGTGTACAAGCCAGTGCTTCCACCCTCCCAGATGAGTCTGGCACTAGTTAACCCAGGGATGTTTAATTTAGTTGTATTGGATATAAACTAATCCTTGAAAACATCGATGACATGGCCGTGACGCGACCGCACGCGTCTGGGTCGGTTACCCCGTTACAAGTATATATCTCTGTAGGCAAACATCCCTTGCTCACCTCATTCGAAGTTTTGTACCCATTTAGATTGCTGTCGTTCAAAAAAAAATGTCGGTTGCCTAACAAAAATTTCTCTACTTCCCAGTCAAATCCACCCATTCAGGTACAAGCAGGCATTGGAAGACGGTAAATCTACCGGAATAAAGAAATCCTTGTATGTTGGTATTGGCTTCGCAATTACATTTCTGATCTTGTTCTCTTCCTACTGCTTGGCATTTTGGGTCGGCACGGATTTCGTCTTCAACAATCGAATGCAAGGTGGAACTGTGATGACGGCAAGTTTTTCCCCTGATTGAGTCTCCAAAATAAGCAACAAGCATATATTTTTTTATTTGAGGTCTTTTTCGCCGTTATGATGGGCTCTATGGCGCTTGGACAAGCTGGACCTCAGTTTGCTGTTCTCGGCACAGCTATGGGTGCAGCCGGATCTCTCTATCAGATCATCGACAGAGTAAGTCGGGCTAAGACGTGGGCGGTCGCGATGCGGCACAAGTCCTATGCAGTATCTACTCAAGGGGCAGGTGCTTTCATAGCTACAATTTTATTCGCACCTTCAGGAACCAGAGATCGATTCCTACTCACAGGAAGGTGTGAGGCCGTCTACTCTCACAGGGAAACTCACAATCTCAAACTTGAAATTTACCTATCCAACACGACCAGATGTGCCTATTCTTAAGGTGAAGCTGCCTCAATTCTCTACGATGCACCGTACGATCTCTACGAATTTTAGGGTGTCTCGTTCGAAGCGAATCCTGGAGAAACGATAGCTTTGGTTGGTCCAAGTGGTTGCGGAAAAAGTACAATAGTTCAATTGTTGCTGCGATATTACAACCCTGATGATGGGAAGGTATTTGCCCTTCCATGCCAATTATTGAAATTGTTGCTTTGAAAAAGTGGGAAAATTCCAGACGTTGAAAAGGAGTAACCTCAAGGATCGATATATAGCTTTCAGATTACGATAGATGGTGTAGAAATCGACAAGATTAACATCGAGTTCCTTCGAAATTACGTCGGAGTCGTCTCACAAGAGCCGATGCTTTTCAATACAACGATCGAACAGGTTGGTCCATCGGTAAAAGGCCTGTCTCTCTGGGAACACTTCCTCATTCAGAACATCCGCTACGGACGAGAGAATGTCACCGACGCTGAAATCACAGCTGCTCTACGTAAAGCAAACGCTTACAACTTTGTGCAATCATTTCCTGATGTGAGTGACTGAAGACCATCTGGTTGAAAGTTTCCAGTCTACGCACATCTCTTTTCAGGGGATCTACACGAATGTCGGTGACCGTGGCACCCAGATGTCCGGTGGTCAGAAGCAGCGTATAGCCATTGCTCGTGCGTTGGTCAGAGATCCGAAAATTCTCTTGCTGGACGAGGCCACTAGCGCTCTCGACGCCGAAAGTGAACATGTCGTCCAGCTGGCTCTGGAGAACGTAAGAATCCGGAGCAATTATTCAGACATTAACGAGTAAAGTTCAAGTATTTCAGGCTTCCAAAGGAAGAACTACCATCGTCGTTGCTCATCGATTGTCGACCATTCGAAATGCTGACAGAATCATTGCCATTAAGGATGGAGAGGTACTGCAGTTCGAGCATTCTCTGAAATACTTCGAACCAATTGGCTATTTTTTTGAGGTGGTGGAAGTCGGCACTCATGACGAGCTTATGGCCCGGAAAGGACTGTACCATGAATTGGTCAATTCTCAGGTGTTCGTCGATGTCGACGGGGGTAAGCTAATCGTTCTGTCAGAATAATCTGATTGTGAAAATCTGGGTTAAACAACTGGGAGCGGTCAAATCAATCACAGGACGCGCCACGCACTCGAGTTCCAGTCAAAATCGTTGCTGCATTTAATTGCAGTCTACTTAGTTTCGATCGACTAATTACATGACTTTCAGACGTCAAGGAAGCTGGTGCGCATCGGCGCACTCCGCCATTGTCACGATCAAAGTCGCCGTCGAATACTTCAGCTGACTTTATGGTATAGCCCTTATGAGTTCATCCTGTCTACATCAGCTAATGAGCATATGACGTGTTTCAGGGCCTCGGATCCCAACTTATGGCCGAAGGCAAAAGAGAAAAAAACGCTGCGAACAATCCGAAGAAAGCCGAAAAGGACCTGGAGCGACTCAAGAAAGGTCACCTCTACTTCCCTTTCCATTCATGAAATAATATAAGCCTTTATCTTTTCAGAACTCGAAGAAGAAGGTGCTGTCAGAGCGAACCTCATTAAAATCTTTAGGTATGCTCGACCCGAATGGCCTTTTATCACTATTGCCGTTCTCTCCTCAGTCGTACAAGGATGCGTTTTTCCAGCTTTCTCGTTATTCTTCACACAAATTATCGACGTACTGTACACGTTCCTCCATTCCTAAATTCTACTTCCATCCATTTGTTCCATTTAGGTGTTTTCAAAACGACCGGGTGATCCATCGCTCAAAAGTGATGGCCATTTCTGGGCACTCATGTTTCTTGTATTGGGTATTATCCAAGGTATCTCTATGCTCCTACAGGTAGCTGCGCTGTTCACCTGATAGACAGTTCCCTTCGAAAATCATCTTCTCTCTGCAGTGTTTCTTCTTTGGTATGTCAGCCGAACGGCTCACAATGCGGCTTCGTTCAAAGATCTTCAACAATGTGATGAGAATGGATGCCACCTACTTCGACATGCCTCGTCATTCACCTGGCAAAATCACTACCCGACTGGCCACGGATGCACCGAACGTGAAATCTGTACGTTTCCTTCTTCCAATACGGGATTATCCTGGGTATTCTGTAGAAAAACATTCTGGATGCGGTGGGGCTGTAGATCTAAATTTCTTTCAACGTCTGATAGTTGGGAGCAAAAATGATCTTCGAAAAGTCAAACCGGTCAGTGGAGGAAGGCGGGCGAGGGGGAGGGTTATTTTGGGTTGGCATGGTTTTCGTGAAAACCACATTTTGAACAACCTTTTCGAATCCAAAGGGGTTAGCTACAGTAATTCGTTGTAATTTAACAATTAAATCCGTGTGGAAAATCACTGTCGCGCACTGTCGCCTTGCGTCGCTTACAGTAAAGCCGATATCGATTGGAGTGAGTCAATGCAATCGTTTAATCTCTTGCTAACTTAAACGCTACCGGTTGGCCTCACTATGTCTCAAGTGACTCGATTAAGGAATATATGATATCATGATATCATCCTCTTTCAGGCTCTCGACTACCGTTTTGGTGCCGTTTTCAGTTCACTTGTTTCCGTGGGTTGTGGCATTGGAATTGCATTCTATTCTGGATGGCAAATGGCACTTTTGGTGAGTGGAAGTCGGCACCACATCAGTCAGGCTCGATGCTTACGTATTCCAGGCAATTTCCATCTTTCCTTTGGGTGCAGCTGGGCGAGCGATTCAGATGAGGTTCATGTCTGGGCGTGCTACAGCCGACGCGAAGGAGATGGAAAACAGTGGAAAGGTGGGTCCACATCTGATAAATGGGCCAATTAATGGAATATTATGGAAGGCCATTCCAGATTGCTATGGAAGCCATCGAGCATATTCGAACGGTACAGGCATTAACATTGGAACGTCGGCTTCATTCCGAATTCTGTCATCATCTGGATGGACCGCACACAACCAACAGACGGAAAGCTCTTATTCAGGTCAGGCAGAAGGCGAATGCTCTCCGAAGGGATTCCAACAGACTAGACGTTTCCGGTCTTGGCTTTATAGGCAAAAGTACCATTTCCAGGGTGTCTCATACGGTTTCGCTTGCAGCATCTTCTATTTCTTGTACGCTTCATGCTTCCGATTCGGAGCATGGCTTATCGTCCACGGCTACCTTGGGCCGATGAACGTCCTCAGGTAGGGAACTCTATACGTAAAGCTACTTTCATCGAGTTATAGGGCCTTCCCGTGCAATGATCCGGGAGAAAAAGCTCTTCGGAGAGTAAAGATGTACAACTGATCGCGTCCTTTTTCAGGGTTGAGCTCGCAATTTCTTTCACTGCTGGAAGCCTTGGTTTTGCCAGCTCATATTTCCCCGAGTACATCAAAGCTACATTTGCTGCCGGTCTCATTTTTCATATGCTGGAAGAGAAGCCGCGTATCGACGGCATGAGCAGCAACGGTAAAAAACCGGAGATCACTGGTGCCGTCAAACTGAATCAAGTTTACTTCAACTATCCCGAGCGACCAGATGTGCCCATACTTCAGGGACTCAATATCAGGGTGAGTGCAGCGGTACTGCGGAAATACTCGCACCACATCAAATGCAGTAGATGTTCTTAAGATTGCTATAAATGACATAGAACACATCCGCTCTCAACGTGGGGAGTATTGTTATCGCTGACCCTTTGAGAATCCTTTTTATTCGATACGTATCTCACTGCTTTTGTCGGTCCACAGAGCACTACGAAGTATGAACGCAACCTACTATAGTTTCCTACGCTTATAATACAATCCGGAAGGCTCCCAATAATCATTTTTCAGGTGGAACCCGGCGAAACTCTAGCTTTGGTTGGACCAAGTGGTTGTGGGAAGTCTACCGTGATATCGCTACTTGAAAGGTTTTACGATGCTTTGGACGGCTCTGTGGTGAGTCTACTCAATTTATTTCAGTCACATCTGTACTCTATGGAAAAACGTTCGAAGTCCTAGAAATGCACAGAGCAATGAGAATTTTTCTAGGCTTCTTGTCCGCACTAGCCCTTCTCAGCACCCATGGGTAACGGAACGTCTCCCTGAATTCCCATGGCCGGCGGCAGTGAGTCCGAGGCGACTCTCCGTATCGTTCTACTGGGAATCCAAATCTTTCCCTCAATGGCGCGCGATCGAGTGCGGCGAGCGCGACACGCCGTTTGGGGAGAAGATGCTTCACCCTTTCTATGAAAGGAAAGGTGGCTCTGGCCACCGCCTGTTTGTTATGTCGCATCGTAAACTACTAGCGCCTCATCACGATAACTACCATACCTCACCCCTGCTACCAGCACATTTCATGATCAGGAGGGACCACCAGATAAGGCTCACATAAGAGTTGTAAGCTGTTTCCAATGAATGATTACTTGCAGGAAATCGATGGTAACGACTTACGCGAAATGAATCCTACCCACCTACGTGCCCATATTGCGCTAGTATCGCAGGAGCCAATCCTATTTGACAGATCCATCCGGGACAACATCCTCTATGGCCTGCCACCAGGTTCTGTCAGTGAAGCTGAAGTGCATGAAGTCGCACAACGTGCTAACATCCACAAATTTGTAATGGAATTGCCTGAGGTGCGTGAGATTTCGCAGTTGAGAAGCTCGTAATGAATAGGCTTCCTTTAAGGCGAGTTATCCACCATTTTAGGGCTACAACACACGTGCGGGAGAAAAAGGTGTTCAGTTGTCTGGTGGGCAGAAACAACGTATTGCCATCGCACGTGCTCTCATCAGAAATCCGAAAATTTTATTACTCGACGAGGCTACCAGTGCTCTCGATACCGAAAGCGAAAAGGTACCGTCGGTGGCACTGGAATAGTCTTCCCACAGATTTCCGATTTTTGTGTTAATGAGGGAAACCAGAGGTGTTCAGGTTGTGCAAGAGGCCCTCGACAAGGCATCAGAAGGCCGCACCTGTATCGTTGTGGCACATCGGCTGTCAACCGTCGTCAACGCCAATTGCATAATGGTAGTCCAAGGAGGAAAAATTGTTGAAAGAGGTACAGCCTAACCCTGATGTTCATATTTCCGCCCTTCCAGGAAAGTGAAGTGGGGTCTTTCAGGAACACACAACGAACTAATGCAAGCAAAAGGTGTGTATTGGGAGCTCACACAAAAGCAGACGACGGCAAAAGAATAAGCTCATCTGCCCAATCCCACAAACAATAATTGTAAATACTTACTGTTTGTAGTAATTATTTCATAGCAATTGGGCATGAGGCTGATTCGAAGATTGGCCGCACTAAGGCCTCACTCGCTCACATCACCGAACTTAGACACCAATTATGTATCGTATATTGTATCAATGGATGCCTTTCCTTTTGAATTGGGTCGTGCGCGACGCGACTGTCCGCCGTGTTTTCACTTCGCTGACAAATCTAGATGCTTTATGGCACAGTTGTTGTTTTTTTTTGCTTTTTGTTGTGATCTCGATAAATAAATTGTATAGTATGACTTAACTGAACATAGTTCATATCACCGTTATAAAATACAAAAAACTCAAGGAGTTAACAAAAATAAATGTAATGTGATAGTCCGCTCGTTGAGTTTTATTACCTGTTCCGTCAGGCACTGTTACCTGATTATCGAAAATTAACAGAAGCCTTGCAGAAAATAAATTGGAATTAACCAATTTAATTGGAAGCGTAGCAAAAGTGGTACCAAACCTTCTTTGAATAATCATCCAGTCGAGATATAAAATTGTGTGTGCGTCAATCTCATCCCAATGCCTTCACGATTCATAAGTGGCGCAATTGCATTGCTCAGCTCCCGGGACCTCTTGCTATTGTAAATTGAAGGCTTGTCATCTTCGCCTGATTGTAGGGCTGAACGAAGTCCTATTTCAATGATAACATCAAAATGTCAGCAACAATCCAGGGCACAGCCAGGAACCGCTGGGCAGCAGCTTTGGTAACCCAAGAAGTATTTCAGGGAATCTTCAGCTTCGATAAATAAGTAAGGTCAAGACTCAAGAGGAGCTCATGTCGAAATAGGTCATGCTAATTGAACTCGATCACCAATAATAACGATTTGAAGATGACCTACCTAGGGCAAGGGGAAGGCCCACGTCATTTACTTATTCGTTTTCTTCCTTCCTTTAATTAGTATTAGTTGCCGACAACCAATCCTTTCTACCCTCTTCTTTCTTTTTCAAAACTTCNATTTCTCTTATCATTGTCAGATCTCTTAAACTGACTAAAACATGTGTTTGGACCATTCCCAAATCCCCGGACTTCATATGGTGTAGCCCATCTGTTTTCATTGCGGCGATACCAAATGGTTGAGAAGGTCTTACTCTGCTAGAGCGCACCACAATTAGATCCCTAGTGCGGATATATTGAGTGAAGTATGACTTGCGGTTTTTGGATTATTTCAAGTGATGCCCTCGAGGTTCCCTGTGTATCGAAAGATGTAATCAAATCCAATCCATTTACAGCCTTCATCAAGAAAAACTCGGTGAACTCAAAATAAAACATAAAACTATGAACATGATACAGTATTTTGCTCAAAAGCATCATAACTCACATGAAAACATCTATATATGAAGAATCTTTAGACCCCGGTCTGACACAGAACGAGTATTAAACGAATACCAGCAGCGATTCTATTTAACAAGAAGTGATGAAAATGAAGTTGGGGGAGGAGGTCGCGTTCTGCTTGTTGAATCTAAGCGTCAGACTGCATGGGGGAAAAGGGCGTCAGCCTCGCAGGCCTCTAATTGTGCCTGGGAACGATACTTGGCTTGAAGTGTGCATTCTCAGCTAAGCCTAAGGAAGGAGGGATTTCGGGTGGGTGAGATGCTGACAATATGCAGAAAGCTGCAATGAAATTGAATGGGGTAGAATTAGTTTGGGTGGGGAAATTTGGTTACAATAAGCCGATCCCGCACTGTGGACTTTGAATTGCATGAGTCTATTGGACTTTATAAAATCCAGTCACTTACTAATAATAATACTACAACATGTAAGACCTCAAACCTCAGCTTATACCGGTTCCACCGCTACGTTCACACGCGGTCCTATGCACTCCAAACTCTTGAGAGCAGACCCCATCCCACAACTACATTTTCACCCAAAGAGTATTCTGCTAATTCTCATTCTATAGTACACCTTACTTGTCATTTATCAAGTCGAATATGTCACTCTTTGCGGGTGGTATTGTCCATTCGAATGTTTCATTAACGTCGACGTCCACTGATTCATCACTACTGTGCGAACTTGCGCGAGATGAGTCTAGAAAACGTTTAAGTACCATAGTCTTATATTACGAAAATAATAGAAATCCTGTCTGAAAAAGTGGTACCATGCTTCTCTAGCGCACATATTTCTTCAAAACTTGCTGCGATCAATATACTTACCTCTTGAAAACGGGAAGTTATCCTGCTCTGTAGCAGGTGGAGAAAATTCCCATTTTTCATCGAAAGAAAAGGGCGGCCCTCCCAAATGATTTATCGACGAATTCATAGATGAGGGTGTCATCATCGATGAAGCCTTAATTAATCCTGGAACTGTTGGCAAGCAGGGCTTGATGGGAAACGATAGAAAGTTATTCTCTCACATATGTGGCATTCTTGTTAGTTCGTAGCGGAGAGGCTAAGCTTTTATCTGCATTCCATTCGGCCACAGTCTGATTGAAAAGCTTTTCTGTAGGAGAGCTGTAATGACAAATGGCTGCAATAACGACTAAGAACAATGGGTAAGCCTCAGAGACGCAAGTTTGTCACTCACTCATCTCGAAAGATATCCTCGCAACCATCATCATCAGGTTGAGAGGAATTTTCTTCAGCCACAATTCTACTAGTACTATCCAGGAATGAGCGAAAAACCTAAAAAATAAAGTCATGATCAATTTTAGTAAGACCGTAATTGAAAGGTCATGATGCTTACATTAGGAGCTGTTCCTTGATTCGATTCCCTATTTTTGATACATTCTCCGACTAAACGTAGAGCTAAGCTATCGTAGGTTTCGTGATGATCGTCTCGAAGATAGAGGGTTGGCAAAGCCGACAGAACGCGTGCAGCAACGCCGGAGAGCGAAGGCATGTTTCTTGGTTCTCTAGAGTCATAAACAACTAAGTGTCGACAGAATCACAATCGAAAGAATCCTTATACTGAGAGAATTTGTATAATGAATAGCCCATAGCAGCTGTATTTTTGATGGAGTGACTGTAGTAGTGCCTACTCTAGTGAGGTGGCTATCCACCATACTTTGGAAAAAAAAANAAAAAAAAACAATTTTTAGAAATAAAATCTTAGAAAATCTCACGGCGATGATGCAGCCTTATGTCGAGAGGGACCACATCGAGGGGGAGTACGCATACTGCTCTTCTGTATGGCTGCTATCCTTGATTCTTGATTATGATAATTCTATAAAGAATTTTTAAAAATGTGTTATTCGGTGAAGTGACGATGAGAGATACATATCAAAAGAAAACGGATGAAGCTTCACCCCGAGTACTGGCGATCTAGCAGCTTCGTAGGATGAGTTGAGTTCGTCAACATCGCTCGAATCATTCGGCTCCGCACGAACCCTAAAACGAAGCATAGGGCAAAAAACTTCGCAGATCAAAAACGAAAAAGCACCTCCATTTGGAACTTTTGGACGGCGCACGAGCAGCATTATAGTCATGTTTCCAAGCAATCTCATCATGGAGATGTTTATTCGCAACACTTTTTACCTTCCGTTTACTGTTTTGCCGGAAGCCGTAGTCTAAAAAAGAAGCAGTTGGAAAAGATGGAACTTTGAAAGAAGTAGTGGTAGTCGAAAAACATACCGTTGTCACAGCTTAATCTGTTAGGCGACTTTTCTTTCTTTTTCTGCCTTACTCTGCCATGATCGTCTACATCATCATTGTGTGAATTGCTTGAATACACAGCAAAGCAGTTATGTCCACGAACCGGGACAAACAATCTCATGAGCTACGACACAGAACAAAAACGCAATCGCGGCTAAGCCGCTCTATAAACTAAGCTTTAGTTGCTTTTGTTAGTTGATCGTACAGCAACCTCGGCATTAGCCACATTTTCGGAAACAGTGCTAGTTTCAGCATGACGTTTAAAATTAAGGCAACAAAATAATCAAATACCATCTGGTCTCACGAAATCCATCGTTCGGTCCGTATGGGACATCGAAGGCTGAATCGTCAGCGTAGGTGCCATTTGAACAAGGAACGTCCTTATCAGGAGCAACCAGACGTCCGATCTGTTTATTCGTCTGGAATACAAGTACGAAATGATACAATTTACAGAACAGTACGAACGTACGGAATACAAGTACACCCATCGAGTAAACAAGAATTAAATGAAAGCGACCGGACCCAGTCGGAAAGTATCCACCATCTCTCCCTAGTAGTGGGTACTGGCTGGTAATAACAAGCTAGCTAAGTACCAGTCACTAGAAAAAACCCCAGGTTAAGTGTTGCTCCTCTCACTGTTTAAGCCCAAGCACATTTTCAAAATCAACGGTTCGAATATGTTCCACTACCTTTCCATCACTGTTAGGCAATTCAACATTTCCGACGTTTTTTCCCTGAACTACTTGGGAACATGTTCACTCAAGCAGCCCGTGAATTCCTCGATGTTTTGAAAAAAACTCGCTGAACTAACCTTTTTCCTCACAGCAGATGAGATCTCGTTGACGACTATTTGAGATTGTTTAGCGTTCCGAAATAATCCAACCCGTTGAGTCACTCTGCCTCCAGTGATTCGAGGAGGTGGCTTCGTTTGTGACGGATCTCCAAACCAACGAATCTCCCCGCTGTCTTTCGTCTCTACTGGAGCTGTAATATAATGGTACTGTGAACTAAAGGAATGAATGGAAACAATGGTTACCTTGTCTTCTTGAACGGATCTCATCGTCGCGAGGACGACCACGATTTTTGACTGATATCGGTCGGGATTTTGGATACGGATTCCATTTTGGGATGAAAGTCCTCTTCGACATGTTCCCATGAGATAATTTTCTTTCTGTTTCGCTGAAAAACACTACTCTGGAACATCCTAAGAGTTCAGGGACCCGAATTTAGCAAAGAAGAAGGTCAATGATTATCGTCTGTTTCTGTTTGTTCTCACTTTGTTTTCTATAATGATCATGACGCTTAATGAGTTCTTTGAACCGTTATATCAGAAAGTATTCGTTTTTTTTTACAAGCTCCCTTATTTTGTGAAGTTGCGAATTGAGAATATAGCCTTTCAAATTCTTATTTTCAGAGTTGCGCCTTACTATAATCCATGAATTCTCAATGCTTCAAATGAAAGCAGGAGGAAGAAAAAAGGAAAAACCAGACCATCAAAGAGCAACACTGTTGTCGTATAATATAATTTGTTTGTCCAGAAAGCCTTACAAGCCTGTGCTCTCTCAGTGAGACAGTATTCTATTGATCAACTATCTTTTCCATTTCGACTTTTTGCACGAGGTCAGCATCTCACCCACTCGGGTGTTCCTGTTATCCCTAGATTTTGACCGAAAACTTCATTTGCTTGGGTCAGAACGTTTATAGTCATCACTACAGGTCAGCAAAGTTGGCGCATCAATCTTCTCTGCGCTCTAACCCTTCACGTTAGAGACGCAGAGCACAGTGTAGTAGCTTCCTCAAGCGTTTCCCAGAACTTTGTTAGATCGTGTAAATACACAAATACGGGTCTGTACATGTTGGACTCGTAAGATCTCGCAAGAGGTGAGTCGCTGCGTACCACAGCTGGACACTGAGGCTGCTTCCATAGTTAACGATATCCATATAGTGTACTGACCGAGGATTTCACGAGTCGCCGCAGCGCACGTGCTACGCGTGCGGTGATCGATTCCGGGTCCGTAGTGGTGCTACAAGCGCTCTTCTGTAGATGGAAGGGTTGCGTTCGACGGACGACGTTGAGTGCTTATAGTGTGATGTCATAAGTGACAAAAGGAAGATAGCTTTAACGTGAAATGGGGATATGATGAAAAAAGAAAGATTGATTTGTTCCCTCACTATTTACAGGATGAGAAAATCATTTCTCGCCGAAACGTCCCATCATACCTGCCTTGTTTTCTACCTTGCTGTAGATAAAGCGATAAGAAACACTACCTGTGGTCCATAGGTCTCTCCATATACTCACATTACCAGTCTTTGTTTATACAAATTGACAATTTTCCTGGATAACAATTAGAAAGAGCTGAATGAAGTGGAACTGGGATCGATTCAAACATGTCTTGTCAAATTTTGATCGAAAATTTAACCCAACGACAAATTTGCGTTCAGACTCTGCGGTCTAACCCAGCATTTGCCGTAAATTCTAATATCTCGGTCGTAATTATTACCAAAGTGTAATTAGCGTGAGATTTCTCATTGTGACGAACTTATATACCAGCGCCTTCCTATGACTTATTGACAAACCTCGAGCTGTGCCAACCCAAAACTGTAGTGGAAGTCTCGGATTTGGTACATGTTTCAATAATTCATTCTGTGTGGGACAAATTCTTGATTAATATAGATAAAGTTTTTATCAACAACACCATTTTTCGCGTTTCTGAGTTGACAAGCGAGACACGAAAGTAGTGTTTGGAGATATTCACTAGGTGTTCGTGTTGTCTGTTGAATCCCGTCCAAAGCCGAAGTTTTGTTCGTAATGAATCCAGTGAGTGTTCAAAGGAATCTGGCTTAGACACTACCCTGTATGCCATGTTATTTGGGAGAATTTCTGATATCGAACTTATGCTGCTCGTGCTCAAAAACTTCTAGCTCTTTCAGAAATTTAGAAACCTTCAAACAGTCACGACTTTATTTTCGATGAGTATCGCTGTTGACCGTGCTCGAATCACGAAGTGTGCTCCAATACGAATTTCATTTCATTAACCATGGTCCAAGCTTTCCTCTCTTCTTCCTTTTTATTTCTGTAAAATATTTTTTGATATTTCATCGTTGGATATTGCCGTATTTCTGAATTTATCAGGTCATGGCGGCTCCGACTGTAACAAGTGCAGATCAGCAACTTATCAACAAGTTTGCTCGGCTACATCAGAATTTTACTCAAATCAAGGTTTGTTTCTTGCCAGAATACATTGTATCGTAATGCAGCGTTCACAGTTTTACTTTTCTTCTTTAAATTACAGAAAGAGTAGTAGAAACTTGAGGGCCTAGTCTCCGCGACTGAGCTTATGTGATTCAATTCATTTCTCTTCTCCAAAATCGGTTTGTGTTGCGTTAGAGCTTCAGAATAAGATTGATGGTGGGATATTTGATAAAAATTTATTAAAAGATGAGATATGCCGTTCAAACTCGCTATACGCCTCTAGGCTTGGAATTTCGTCAACTTTTTTTGAATAAGTGTTTTTTTTCAGGAAGAGATCAAAGAACTCTCGAACGAATTGTTGAATATAAACGAAGCAGCAGATGAAATCTTGTTGTTAGACGATGAAGACAGTCAAAAAATTCCTTTTAGGATTGGACAAACATTTGTTCACTTTGATAGTGTAAGTGTTCTAATTATTTTTGCTTTTTCATGCATATAATGGCAATGGTTTTTTGTGATTTGGTACTCCCTGTCTTCCCTCAAACCGACGCATGCCTTAGGAATCTAATCCCATCACTTGCTTCACAGCCTAAGTGGTGACTTTTATAAATGTGCCTCATCCTGAGTAGTTTATACAGAATCTTCCTATGGAGCTTTTGCCGTTGAAAATCGGTATAGTGCCTTTCCCCACTCATTAAACATTTGCTGCTCAAACCGACCACAATGAATTATTTGATGAAATAAAATGTGGGTACACTTCTGATTTCCATGCGATCTTTCTGTTAATCTATTTCTTCAGAAGTGGGTATTTTTTACTGCGTCGTTTTATTAATACTAATATTCTATATTATATTTATGTAACGTATGCTTGTAGACCTGTATCGTATCTGCTGAGGTGGTGTTGCGCCAAGTGCGCACAGGAAAGGAATTCGCAGATCGAATCCCGGATCGATACTCGCCCAGTCCGACCAAGCTTTCCATTTCTGTGTGGTTGTTTAATTGGAATCAGATTCGTCTGGGAGGGCAAAAGTACTGATTTGTACAAAGGCTGACCATAGCTTGTCATCGTAGTGAACCCATGCACATTCTTAACGCCGTAGCGATTCTGAATGAAGGTGCATACTTGGCCGCATCCCGAACAGGGTTGCCTTCCACACTCACCATCCTCCCTCTGGCTCTTTGTGATGAATACATATCTGAGTATACTGAATCATTCAGGATTCTTTGAACACAAAGCTCGAACAAATGAAGGAAGCTACGGAAAAGTCGATTGAAGAGCTCAAGGTGAGTATCTTCTTCTGTTGATCGTTTCTATATGGTCTCCTTCTTCTGATAAAACGAAGTTTTCGTTTTGTTGCTTAAACAGTACGGACTTTTCATGAAGTGAGCCATTGTTTTTAGGCTCAAAATACGTCTTCTCAGAGTGAGATGGAGAGTTTGAAAAGGACGCTGTATGCCAAGTTTGGTGACCGTATTAATCTCGAATCTGATAAAGACTGATGGGTGCTTTGTATTTTTTTTGTAGTGATTTGTTTTTACGTTGATAATTTTCCATGGTTTAATTCCTGCCAGAGTGTTCAGTAAATGCTTCGTTTAATTGTCTTCATGATGTACAAATGAACGTTGGACCGTTGCTTATCTGTTGCGCCATTTATCGCACCACTGTTGGCCGATTTCCTTTGTTGCGGTGCTGTGGCACCATAACCATCTAGTATGGATGAGTCTGATAGGGTACATATTGCTTACTCATCATTTTTTTTTCAACAATTCTATAGTTAATGATTCCATTCTTGTTCTTTCTATGATGAATCAAGAGTCCCTTAACAGCTCAGATTGGTTTCATAGACTGTGAGGGCAGTTTATTTTGGATTCTAAAAAGTGCGCACATATTGCGATGCTCGTACTTTTGAGTTGATGAGTTGTTTTACTTCTAGTTGAAATGCTGCGATATCCAGTCTCTAGTCGTTTGACTGCTAGATATCCTTCGATGTGTCATGGCAAGCACCTATCTATCCACAGTACCTATCACGAAGCCTATTTCTCGTGAAAAAAACCTCCTACAGCAGTAACTCATAAGGTGATGTCATAAACCGCGTGCACGATCACGATCTTCACCCACCCAGCATTTATCCTATTGGTGAAATGTCAAGTCAAGAATTCGTCCCATTGCTCTCCTCTTTCACTGTTCGCTGTTCCTAGTTCCTTTTTTTGAAATTCAATCAATAGTAATTGCGTCAAATGCCTCTGAATAATATGTAGTAGTGTTTTATTGCTTGGCAGTTGAGTCACTCTCTCGTCAAACTTTGCAAAATTTTCACTTTTCTTCTCTTCTTGAAAGATTTTCATTTTTATCTTCTTACACGCTTATTTTAATGCACAAAGGTGATAGATTAGACGTTTGAAATTCTTTTTCCCTTCACAAATTTCTCTGTGCCGTGTAGGCCATTCAATTATGAATGAGCAATGAGTCAAACTCCGAGTGGTGTCTTTCTATAAAAACCAACTGCAGTAGTTCGAGCGAGGTCCAAAGGTCAGTTTCAGCCCTGCGTCGCGTGGTCGCGTGAGATTCAATTTACACATAAGCACATTGTAGTCTCATTCTTGTTCACCTGTTATCTGGGGCCCATTTCAATGCTGGTTTGCTAGGAGAGCCTCTCTCACATAATCGGAAATCCTTAAAGATTGGGGAAAGCAGCGCCAAACGTCACTCTACCCCATGAAGATCTTACTCCGGATCGTATTCCAATTGCGTTTTCCATTTCCGTCATCCACAGTTTTCTGCAAGAAATGTTCGGTATGGAAAATACGTTGACTTGTAAGATTGCTGGATACGTCCAAAAACGCATTCCCATGCCCTTATAGTGTTCTGATTGAATGTAACTAGCGGGAAGCGGGAGCAAGATGCTGCTGGTTCATTTTTAATCGATCTCTCACCAAATTTCTATCTGTAACTTTCTTTGCAGGGCAGCGTTTATTTTTTCATCGCTCTCTCCCAGTATGATTCCGTTGTTTTCGCTATGGCACACCCCTTGTTGCTGCAATTCGTCATCATTCCCTGTGTGAGAATGGCCAAACGACGCATTTACTCTGAATGTTTCAATTGTCATCATTCACGCATTTACTCTGAATGTCTCAATTGTCATCGTTCAACTGTTACTAAGGGTTCACTGGTACTCTTGATAATGAAGGGTTCTTTGCAGCGGAAATGAGGCTGTTAAGGAGAACCTGAAGTTGCTCGCGACAGAGCAGATCAATGGAAATTCTTTTAGTCTTCATGTTTACGATTCCCCACTGTCAATTGATGATTGGTATTTGAATTGATATGGGCTTGTTCAAAACCGAAGGTGGGCTTTCAAAAGGGTCTGTTCTTTTCCATAAGGGGAAATTAGAGGAAAAGCCGAAATATGCCATGAAACCAGTCCCATTGTTTCCGAGGTATTATGGGCAGACCATCTGGAAAGTGAGACCTTTCTTCAAAAAGTGAGGCCTGGCCTTTCTTCTGTGGAGACTGAGGAGCCTCACTCCTGTGAGAGAGAGTGGGATGAATTTCAAGGACAGACTTTTTTGAAGTATTCATTCCGAAGGGGCACCGGTTGTAATTTCCGGCCCCGCGCTGAAGTAAATTTCATCGGAACTCACGCCAATCCCTACTTCTTGAAGTTTTCGATGATTCCTTTGCTTCTCGCGATTGTGCTGTTAGGGCACCACCAGCAGCTCTCCAAAAATTTTGTTCTACATTTTTTTCACAATTTCTACAAGGGTTTTTTGAATGGAAGCTTTGCACTATGAGGACCCACATGCTCCGATTCTCGCGGTCTATTTTGATTGAGGCAACTCTTCTCGCAACCTGTCAATCGTGACCTTCATGTTTTGACCTTGATCGCCAAGTGGGCTGTAGTTGTTGGCAAAAAGTTTCTATTGTCCCATTTCGTTTGCAAAATTCAGCACATTGTCGTCCTTTGGATGACGTGGGACTTTTTTCATAGGCTTGATAATGTGGGTCGTCCTAGGCTAGAGTGTGTCTGTCCTTTGCTTTGGTTTGCACGCACTATTTACACGTCTGCCCTTCGATGCAGAGGCTTATTATCGGGCGTCTTAGATCATTGATCGTTCGTTCACTGTGAATGGGACTCCTCACACCCTCGACTCCCACTCCCCACAATTTATATTTTTCCTTGAAACCATGGTATTTAGATTTAAGCTTGTTCAGATGGTTGCTGGTAAAATACCAGTGACCGGTAAAATAATAGGAAATGAATGTTTCTGCAATCTTCAAAGTAAGCTGACTTAATTATGTTCTCACGAACCCCATTTCCCGCTCCGTTGTAATCATTTGAGCCCCCGTAATTACGTGCACCGCAGTTGCCACTTTTTAGGCACCACATCGTGGAAATCGCTCTATTTCTAACAAGGTGAATCCGAGTTTTATAAAAAGGCCGAGTATGATAGAAACGCGTCCTTCAGTAGTCCATGGGAGAATTTAGCAAAAAAAAGGAAATATAATCGATTCCTAGTGGAAGGTAAGAATCGACGGTGCAGGTGAATCTGACATACTGTGGAGAGAGCGGATCTTGTTTCCTGTCCGGCATCTCTAAAAATCTTCAATTTTCTATTGGGTCATGCCTGCCGTACGCTCCCAGCATGACTACAATCAATTAGCTGTCTTTGACTTTTTCTTAAAAATAATGCAGGATTTTCGGACGAATTTCCGGTCTACTAGGGCTCCTACCCATTCTTCTTTCATAAATCATTCTTCTTTTCTTTGTTATCGGTGCGTGCAATCAAAGTGGTGCACGTTCATCACGTTCGCAATTTTACGAATCAAGTAGCCATGGCTACGCACTTGTTCGAGTACCTACTGCACATTCGTCTGAGTACCTACTCTTCCTGGTCAATTCTTATTCAGGAATATTATGTACAAAGAAAGTTTACTGAATAAAGGATGTGATGTAGAGCGCAGGTGACATTTTTTGCCTGTTTGGGTGCTCGGTCCTATCGTTCTTTGGTTAAACTTCTTCTCATGCTATCTCTGTTTCGGTAGTGAGTAGATGCCTAGCTATTGATTTCTGTTGCTTCCTACAATTACTTATTTTATACTTTATAACATTTTATGATGTGTATCTGACATGCCATTATTTTTCACATCATTTTTTGTTGCTTATAAAAGAGTTGCTAGGTTTTTGAAATTATTTTTGACATTATTTTGTTCGGATTTACAAGTCCTCTGAAGTTGTAAGACTTGGCGACTATCGAACCTCGGTGGTGAGAAGGCGTAGCTGTTGGTCCCACGTCCGAAATCGGTTCTGTTGTAAGGGCTGACTGGTAGAAAAGCGCATGAGTTGACAGAGATTTTCTGCTCGAGTGCTTTCGACACTCCTACTCTCCCTCCCAGACCCCACATAGGAGCCGAATGCAGGGGTGCAACCAAAATTCCCGGTAGCATCTATTTATAACTGCAATTTTTTGAAATTCAGCATAGTGGATAGGATTGGGTAAGAGTTCTGGTCGATTGCGTTTCATATTGACTCTGAACAGGTTCCCTATTTGTGTTTCTCTCTGAAAGGCGCATTTCCAACTCCTAACGGGGCGTGTCTGTGAACGGGATCGAAACCAGGGGGAGGGTCGCCCAGAGGGTTTACTTGTTCATCTGATAGCGTAAAATAGTGATTTCCTCTAGGCGTGCTGTCCAGTACGTAGTATATAGTCAAGTACGGCATAGATTAATTAATTTTGATAATTTTTAAAAGCAATCATGATGGACACTGTAGAAATTTTTGCATGGAATATGGGTTTCTGTAGTACCTTTTTATGCTCTGACCGAGACTTCTCAGCTTTGTTCGAGCAGAGTTTCAAATTTTCACCTACTTCAGAGTGTGAAAGACGAAGATACCTAGACTAATAGTTTTCCAACGCCATCTCTGGCTCTATTTGAGTCCTTTTTCCGAAACCCCGGACCAGTGAATCTAAATAATTTCAGTCAACGATTTACCAGGTTAACTTTGGGGTCTGAGAGCTCTGTCATTTTTTCTTTCCTATTAACGGCTCTTCGGGGAACCTGCTGCATATAACACTACTAATTATGCTGAACGTCGTTCGCTTTTCTGTTCAAATGTCACATATATTCATCGTGCTTGTTTATCCCACAAACATGCCTATAGTATTTTCATCTCATTCAAACAATATGGACGGCTCCCCTATTTCTTGTTCCATTGATTGCTTCATATATTATTACTTTTTACAAATTTCAAAGATATTCTTGCATATTCAGCTGTTTCTGGTCACAAAATTCACTTTAACGCTGATACTCATTCTTGTGCAAGTTTAAAAGCTTCAGGGTCAACTTAATTCAGAAGAATTCAGGCCCTCTCTACTTCCTTGGGATACTAATTTCGCAGGAAGTGGTGGGGGTTCAAAAAAGAACCGTCGAGTTTAGCATCGTTTTTGCTGGAAACAGGCACCAGTCTGCTCCCGAATCGTGATGAACCTTCATTGCTGCAATAAATTTTTGCCGAATGGCGTTGTACTGTACCTGGAGGCTCATGAAATCTCTCCCTTTATCCCATCAAAGCATGCTTCCTTTCAATTTCTCCCTGTATCAATTAGCCAGTGCTGGGTCCTCGAAGAATGGGGTTCACTCTAAACATCAGACAATTAAGAAGTCATAAGTTCGACGGCAATCTCTAAGCCTGGAGCGAGGCTCTAGGTTTCGCCTCCATTTTTATACATTGCTTTAATTCAAAAATATGGGAACGGCTTCCAAAATTTGGAGCGGTTGAAGTTTTCTGTGCTGTTTTATCACTTTTTTGTTCAATCCCACTCTCAGCGTTCAGAAGCGTAGAGATTTTTGAAAGCGTGCGTGGTTTAAAAAGTGGCTTGTGGAGGCCAGACGAGTTTGGTAGCAGTTATTCAACCCCGGAGGGATAGAAAGCTCGTTCGGCTTAGACGCATTTAGATGTGAAATTTGTTCTCTGAACCGTGCTCGGGATGCTTATTTTCAGGGTAGGTAAAACAACAATGCGTAGGGATCAAAAATTAGTTTGGACATTGAACTCCCATCACATAGTCTCTGGTTTCCCTCGAGATCTACATGAGAAGAACTTTCGTAACTTTCAGAATAAACACATGAAAAATTATAGAAAACGAAAAGTTTTGAAATTGATAAAATGAGCTCTCCGTCGATTTTTGACATAGAAGTCGATTCCTAGCCCAAATTATTGGAAGAAAAGATTTAATAGTGGCATCTATGGAAGGCTATGCTCGGGAATGTTTTGCCCTTGTACGTCTCACCGCTAAGATTTTTTTCTGGGGTTTAGAGGGAAGCGAAAGTTTTAGCTGTGTCAATAAAATCGCTGTAGCAGTTCCAAGTCGAAGGTAGCGATAGCAACTCGATCAATGGATTGTTCAAGCATCTTAGTGTTGAGTTTTTGTTGTTCAACAACGAATTTTAAATAGCAGTCACGGTCAATAAATAACAAGATGATGAGATGAAAACTAGTTACTGACTCTTGCACACGTGAATGCCACTGTCATCTGCCGTCATTTGCTGTCACGCCCGGCATGAAAAAATATCCTGCCCCTACCTATTTCCCATGTCAATACATTGAAGATTACACCAGGTCGGTGGCATTTCTGTTACCTATTGGCACAGTTTCACAGTCGTATTGTTTGATAATGGTTCCTGATTTTCTGTTTATCTAAATATGAGCCTAATCCCACCATTGACCTCTTAACCGGGAGCTACCCGAGTTCTATAGAATCAGCACTATAATTATCATTACATAGAGTCATCCAGTATTGAAAAGTAGCTCCTTAAGTGGATAGTGTTGGTAGTCTTACCGTCTTTTGACCTTTAGCAAACCGGTTTTTTGGAATGCGCCGCTGCACTGGGCTTCCACTCAGAATTGTAATGGCATATTGGATGTGTATGTGCCTTTACAATGACTTAAGGTGGCCAGAGGGTTAACGAATCAGTGTCTTTATCTTTCCAAACTGACTTAGTACCTATTAATCGACGACAGAGGGAATGTTACTCAGTACATCTACGCAATCAAGCTATATTTAAATCCGAAAAATTGATTCCAACGAGGTATCAGCGGTGTCGATATGTACGCACCATTCACAGGCACTACTAGTTCGATTCTGTCGACCTTCTTGTAATGAAGAGCTTAGAAGCCAAGCGTGCTTCATACTTTGCTCTACTCAAGGGATGGGACACACATTGAAGAGCTGCATCATTAGAAATCAATGAATTTTTACTGAAGATTTAATTTATGGCGAATTTAAAATTAATCAATTTATTTGATTCAGTTGGAATTTCTTCAAAGTTTCAACTTCCAGTTAAAACAGAATTAAGGTTGACATTTATGAAAGATTGTCAGTTAATAATTAATAATTGGCAGCCAAAAGTTCTTTTCTGGTCAATTTTTGTTTCTCCTCCTTTTTTTCGGGAATGCCATGGCTATCCTTCTTGGACTGCGTTTTCTTTTCGAATCGATTTATGAGTAACGTTTTACCCAATAGCTATATGTTCCAGGCCGAAAAGGAACCTCGATCAGAAGTTTCTGGACAGGATTGGTGGTGCTCTTGGAATTCACGAGCTAAATCGCCCATCGTCTTTAAGCGGATTTTCTGACGTACAGCATAGAAGTGAGTTTCCTAAATTTTGTGAGTAGACGGCCTAGTAGATGCCTGCGAAGTAAAAAATAGATTTTAGAGCGAGGAAATAGGAAAAAAATAGACTAGGATTTTCAAAATGTCCTTTGTTGTGTTACATTTGAAGGAGATTCCATGGAAACTGCTCTCGATTTTGGGGAGTTGTTTCAGTTATATTTTAGGATGTCTTTGCGTACTGAATGCGCAAAGAATGCGTATCTAGTACGCGAAATATGGAAGTCATTCTTGAGGAACTCCTCGGCTTTGACTCGAAGAAGTTGAACACCCAAATCCTGACGTCCTAGCGGTAGCCGAATTTTTTCTGCTAGAGAGTGTTGCGCGGTCTTGAACAAATGATAGCCGGATGCCACCAGATCGGGGCTGTATGGCGCATGAGGCAGAAGCTCTCAGCCCATCTCTTCGATTTTCTGTTGCTCAAAAGCTCTCAGCCATTGCCGTTTTCCCAGTGCGTTTCCGAAGGATATATTCTTCTTCTCATCTGACGTGAGAATGGAGCTGAAAAAACCCACTGCTCTTTGATTAACGCAGCGGACTTCCTGCCGAGCAGCGCGTGCAAAAAAAAAATCGTGGGAAGTGCGCTGATGATAAAAGTTTCAAGTCAGAACCTCATCGCAAAAACGAATTTCGGCTCATCTCATGCTCTTGGATCACGATGACTGCGGCTCAGGATTTGCAACGCAGTAGTCTCTTTATGCTTCGCTTATCAGTTGCTACAGAACTTATCCGACCGTCAATAATCTGGAAATCTCGCTCAATGATCGACAATAAATACTTGAAGATAAGAAGTACGACAATGGGCTCTTTATTGCGGGGCGTTATCAACAGTAGACATCCATGCAAGCCTTTGTTTAAGTTACCACTCTGCTCAGTTGCAGAACAGTCCCTTCGCCAATAGACCCAATAATGAGAAAGATTAAGCTCCTAAAGAGTGATTATTGGTAAAATCAGAAGCAGCAGACCAAGTTTTCGTGAGCGATAAGCGTACTCGCATTGTGCCTAATTTGTTGTGCCCTTCGCATTTGAGAGGATTCTCCATTGAATATTTTGTGGTCAAAAATGAACCAGTTGTTCCCAAAAGAGGTGTGGAGGATTAGCATGTTCGTAGCGGCCCGGTTTATATAAGTAATCGCTTTTAACCCGAGCCTGTGAGAATTGCAAGTGAAACAGTAGTGTGCTCGCCTTTCGTATTCTGCACAGTGGTGCTCGTTGTCTGCTCAGTTTCATTTCGTTGTTGCTTTGTAAAAAAANAAAAAAAGTCCTGTCTACTTCCACTGCATATCGGGTGGATGGGGTTATGAAAAAGCAATAGAAATTCAGTTTGTATTCTACAGAACTCGTCTGCAAAATCGTTGCGTTGATCGCTATCGGAAACTCGTTTTAGAATGATTGCCAATTTATGGTAATGACCCTAATAGTTTTAAAAATCGATCCCGAAACGATCGATTTGTTCTCTGTTCCCGTCTGTTCTGATGTTTCCTCAATAGGATTCTCTCCTCCCTCTCCTCATCCAGTTGTACAAATTGATGACATCATCGAGTGGTATCTGAACAGCATAATAGTTTTTGCAGAAATGTCTCGATCTGGGCGATTAAATTCGATTTCGGCGCCATTGTCGCCTGATCTCATTAAATTCCTTCGGGAATCCATGGAAAAGGACCTTCTGTACGATCCACCCTATGTGTTCGTGATATTTGGTGCATCTGTAAGTATTGAACTCAGCTTTATTTTTTTGATTTTGATTAGAGAGAGGGATCCTCATTGGTAGAGCGGGTCAGGTTGGGATTCAGAGTTCATGCTATAGCACAATTTTGTCTGGTCGATTAGTTACAACTTTTCTCCCAAACCTCGGTTTTCTCATAACTCGGAAAAAAATTTACAGTCTAGAAGTTATAATTAGGCGCTACTAACGTTGCCATCGGTGCAGTTTTTTTATTTACGATGAATTTTATGCTTTGAGAGGGTAAGATTTATAACCTATAACCTGAAGACCTTTGCTGTCCTGGAGTTCATGCCTACTGCTCGATCACGAGTGTCATGTAAGGACATGGGAAATTCCCACCTTCCTTTCGGGCAACTTCATAGGTTTGTAAAGAATATTGAGTGTGTACGACGCTACTTTGCAGGCCAAAATTACGACTACGAACTTGCGTATGGGTTACTGGGATTCTCTTTTCTTTGGAACCGCTGCACCCTTAAGGGCACCGTTCACATAATTTTGGGGTAATCCAGATTATGATGAAAAATGGAAGACAAAATTGAAACTAGTGGGACTGAGGTGAAGAAACTGCGTGCATCGGTGTTTTCAAAGTGAAAAAAGGCCTCGAAAAAACGTTAAAAAGGGGGCTGGACGTGAATGAAACCAGAAAAATGAAGAAGGGTGGGGCGTCCGGACGAACTAAACAGTGTGTTTCACTGCGCGCGTGTGGGTCCTGGTGCGAAGAACAGACAATGGTAAGCAAAAATTCATTCACTTATAAGCATAAATGGACAAAAAAACCTTAGTAACAGCAAAAGTAGCTCACCTTTTTCAGCCTCTAGGAGTAGGAAATTGAATAAGGGATCGCGGTAGCAAAAGGAAAAACAGAGGAAAGAAGAATTGGAGAAAAACATCGCCTCATCGCTTGGCGATTAGCTGATTGTGCGTGGGTCCTAGAACGAATAATAGCAATCTGTATTGTCTCGACACTCGTCTAACGTGACACCGATCGAGGGGCGGGCACGCGAACCGCGGCAACAACGGGGCTGCCACTATGCCCTGGACGTCGAGATTGGGGGAGTGAGAGGGTCCCTTCTACAACCCATGGAGGCCGCTGAGTATTAGTAAGGTAAGAGCTCTATAACTTTTTTATCGTGAGCGGNGGCGATTAGCTGATTGTGCGTGGGTCCTAGAACGAATAATAGCAATCTGTATTGTCTCGACACTCGTCTAACGTGACACCGATCGAGGGGCGGGCACGCGAACCGCGGCAACAACGGGGCTGCCACTATGCCCTGGACGTCGAGATTGGGGAAGTGAGAGGGTCCCTTCTACAACCCATGGAGGCCGCTGAGTATTAGTAAGGTAAGAGCTCTATAACTTTTTTATCGTGAGCGGTGCCTTTAAGGATAATACTTAATTGTACATGATTTGTCTGTGCATGTCTTACTTATTTGTCTCGGCTCCTAAAAGTTTGTGGCAGTGAGAGGCATAAAGTATTGTTTGTTTGGGTTTTCCCCATTTGAGTTGAGGTCTTGGATGGATTTTTCATATTCTCCTAACTTTTGACAAATTCGTGGTTTAGGGTGATTTGGCGAAAAAGAAGATCTACCCGACTCTTTGGTGGCTTTATCGTGACTCTCTTCTGCCACTGAATATAACCATTGTTGGCTATGCTCGTTCGGACTTGTCCATGGAAAAGCTGAGAAAATCGTTTGAAAAAGCTTGTAAGGTCAGTTCAAAACCACCATGTGGCCTGGTTCCGAGGTCAATTTGGTGTAAATAGTTGAAGGGGTTTAACAATCTGCAATCATTCTGAATGATATACCGGTTATTTTTAGGTCCACGACAATGAAAAGAAGAAATTTGAAGAATTCATGAGCAAATGTACTTATATAAAGGTAAGGGGCAAGTTAGCTCAATTCATCGACGTATTAATCGAATTACTTCCTAACTATTTCTTCCTACTTTTTTCTTTCTAGGGCAAGTACGATGAAGCAAAAGGATTTGAGAAGTTGGCTAGTTTTATAGATGAAATTCAGAAGAAGAGCAACGATCGTGAGTTTGTCACAGAAGTCAGGGATGCAGTGGTGCGGGAGAGGGATTAGAAAATTACAAAACCGTTGTAGTGTTCCCACCAGTTCTCGCCTAGGATTGAAAGTTTTGCAAGGGGTTGAGAAACATTTGCACAGAGTGTTATCCAAGCAGTACTTCTATGGGAGTTCGCATCGTGATTTTTTTATTAAATTGAAGCAGCGAATCGGCTGTCTTGGGCATGATTTATGAGACCGTAGTGCGTTTCACACTGGTGCTTCGTCAAAAGGGAGAGGCTGACTGATGGGAATGGATAAGGGCCCAGGATGCCCTTATTCACACAACACAAGTTCAGCTTACTGTTTCCCTATGGGCTTTCAGTATTGCCGAGTGGTCATTACAACACACTCATGAATTTTTTAGAACCTGTCAATCGTTTGTACTACCTTGCGCTCCCACCAACTGTCTTTGAAGATGTTACGTCAGAATTGAAAGCGCATTGTATGGATGACGGGTATGTTGGGTTTGCCCTAACTGCTGTAGTGTAGGGTCCTTTTTGTGGACTTTTTTCTTTGTAATTTTTCCAAACAATAGATTTACAGAGATTCTTGGACTAGAGTGATCATCGAGAAGCCATTCGGGCACGATTTGGAATCATCGACTAAGCTTTCAAATCATCTGTCAAAATTATTCAAAGAGGTATGCTCGGAGACAAAGTTGATGTAGAAGTAAGTCATGCTTATTACTGAATCGTTTTAGGAGCAGATTTATCGGATAGATCACTACTTGGGAAAGGAAATGGTCCAGAATTTGATGGTTCTTAGGTAAGAACCTTATTATTGCATATCAGCAGCCGATCACTAGTTTCTACACCAGCAGTCGCAGAATTCATCTCACCATCAGAGTAGACTTGAAACCAGCATCCTTTCTACTTCGTTTTTTGGGGCGTTTTACAAGAAACTTTTCTCAACTGTACTTTTGCTCATACCTTTCACTAGCGGAGTAACTCTTCCATATTTGTCACTCTACAGAAGCTGGTTGGGTTATGTTGCGAATGTTTTGTAGGTTGTGACTCATAAGTTTAGGATTTAAGCGAAGACTGTCGCAAGGCGTGTTTTTTGGGTTCTTTAAGCTGGTGTGTAGAGTTTATGAGGCAAAATGGAGTAACCATTGATAGAATGCATCCTCCACCTCCTATAGGTGCTTCTATTGGTTGTTCGCCACATGAATTCCCTCTTGACTGGCTGAAAGCAGTCTATAAATCAGTTTCTTTAATAGCCTTACTTTGCGTCTAGCAAATAGGTTTGCTATCCATAGCTTGTTTGTGTCCTCTGGAACAGCTTTTCAAATTCCCTTTTTCCTATAAGAATCACCATTTCTTTTGAGATCATCTATACCTGTTGTGAGAAAGGTCTAGATTTTCTCAAAACCGTTGCAAGACCAGTCACGGTAACAGATAACAGTTGATCGTAACCCATTCGATATCCGCTTCACTATCGGTTCTATTAAGGTTTGGCAATCGTTTCCTCGGTCCGTCATGGAATCGCGATAATATCGCATCTGTAACGATCTCATTCAAAGAAAACTTCGGTACCGGCGGTCGTGCAGGATATTTTGATACGGCTGGTATTATAAGGTGAGCGGACATTGTTGAGAAACAGATTTTATTGGCAGAGATGGGTGATGGGGGCGGGGCAGTGGGAAAGGGCTTTGGTGTCATGCGCAAACACTTGCGGATGGGGTCCTGCATCTCACAATATCCAGACCAACCAAATTCTTGCTTATTGGGAGCCGTAGGCGCCTCACCATGCTCCTTTTGTAACTTTTCAAGTCCCTCCCGGAATTGGAAGCATTTTTAGAGGGGTCTAATGAAAAGAGGATGACTGCAAATTTGATTGAAGAAATTCATTTCGAAGTGATTACAATTTTTAACTTCACTCCTATGGGTCGCGGTCCAATTTTGTAACGTTTTGTGGCAAGAACGATAAGAAGAACGATTTGTGGCAACTGTGGTTGACATGGCCTTTCATTTGGTGGGGATATCCACCATATAATCTTTTTTTTTNNNTTTTTTTTTCAGAGATGTGATGCAAAATCATCTGATGCAAATTTTGACCCTTGTGGCCATGGAAAAACCGGCCAGTTTGGATGCGGAGGATATTCGAGACGAAAAGGTAACCCTTATATCAAAATACCCAAAGGAAGCTGACAGATATAACAATTTCTCAAAAAATTAAGGTGAAAGTATTAAAAGCGATCAAACCAGTGCAGTTGAAGGATGTGGTTCTGGGGCAGTACGTGGCAAATTCTGAGTGCTCCAGTGAGTCGCCTCCTTTCCAACTGTCTTTTGGTCTTGAATGCTTATTCATTTTCATGGGCAAAATTACTGTTTTTGTCAATGTTCCTGTTCCTCAGCATGGCTAGTTTTCGAAAATTGTGTGCCATTTTTTTCATTTTTAGTGTACACAGTACTAAAGAAAGTGTACATACACAGCTTGTTCAGTTCCTGAAGCTGGTGCCGGTTACAAAGACGATGACGATGTTCCCGATGATTCGATTACGCCTACCTTCGCTTTAGCTGTTCTTCATGTACATAATGAGCGATGGGAGGGGGTGCCGTTCTTTTTGCGATGTGGAAAAGGTGAGATATGGTTTTTGTTTTTAATTACAAGCAGTTGAATTCAGCCCTTCCGAATCCCTCTACCTGCGGTTCTTCTATGTAAGGGTACCAACGGTTTCCGAAAATTTAAAAAGGATTTGGGTGAAATAGGGCAAGGCGCAGTTGAATTGCTTGTAGATGAAGAATAGGGGTGAAAAAGGTTTAGTTAATAGTGACGCACTGTCAATCATCCGTGGTTCGGCGTTCGGATCCGGGATCCATACTCGATGTGGCTGACCCGGCCTTCAATCGCTCCAGGTAAATCATTGGTACCATGCTGGTATGGAAGAATAAAAGCACCGATTCACACCTCGATTGGCTCGCAAATTATGTACAGACCACATACACACGGCGCATCCTACTGACGGTTTTGACTACCACCGAGGATCCTTTATCCTTTATCCACCGTCTTCATTTAAGAGTTTTATTTTTATTTGTAGCACTAAACGAGAGTAAAGCCGAAGTTCGTGTTCAATTCAAAGAAGTCAATGGTGATATATATCCACCCGGTGAATTAAAGAGGTATAGTTGGACGATACTGATTGAATTCGTTATTTATTTCTGTCCGCTTTTTAGAAGTGAACTAGTGATGCGTTTGCAACCAAATGAAGCTGTCTATCTCAAACTGATGACCAAGAAACCAGGAATGGGCTTTGGCGTGGAAGAATCCGAGCTTGATCTCACTTATAATGCTCGATACAAGGTTATCTTCTCAGTCTTTTCTCAAAAGGTTTACCAGTCGAATGGCTCGTTTGTGCGTGCGATCTACAGAGCAACAGATACAACTTTTTTGGATTTTTCTACTTAAAAAAAAANCTTCTCGAGTTTGAATCCGGCCACTTGCGATGTCTCGATAGTTACCCGTATACAGATGGGTTCTTTCATGAACTACAATGAAGCTTCCAGAGAATCCGGAGAGTATCCGGGTCATTGTAAACACAACCTTGTACTTGTGGATGAGATCATGTAGCGCTACACACACAAGCGATCTCTGAACTGTGTAGGACTAACCGTGAATCGCTTCAAAGTTGTTATTACCATAACGTTTTCCAGGACATTCGCTTACCTGATGCATATGAACGACTATTTTTGGAAGTGTTCATGGGATCTCAAATAAATTTCGTTCGTACAGATGAGCTTGAAAACGCTTGGCGTATACTGACACCGGTTCTAAAGGAGATCGAAAAGGATCGGGTAGAACCGCTCGAATACAAATTTGGAAGGTTCATCTAAATTCTGATTGTTTTCTGCTTTTGCTAGGCTCATTAATGCTCTGGATGCATATTTGTTCTTTCTCAATTATGATAGTATCAATAAGTTTCCAATTTCAGCCGTGGACCAATGGAAGCCGATGAATTAATGAGGAAATATGGCTATGTATTCTCGGGGACGTATAGATGGACAGCTCCTAATAAGTTATAAACATCGTTATCAGTAAGATCTTCAGCCATTCTTCAAGAAAGGCTTCGTTATGTTCAGCCAGTCGTAGAATTAGGTTATCTTGATAATGTCCTCACTGCATCGTCCACTAACTAGTAGATTGCGGCGACCGGGTACCTGAATCTGTTCGGGACGCCCATGAAAATGCCTCAAATTCATACTGTATCACTTGTCGCACTATTCCACAAAGCGCTAAGCTGCATTACAGCTTACGACTACAGCATCTCCTATATCTGGCCCGTTCTCGATCAGTGTACTATAAACGCTCTTCGGAAAACCATTATTAGGTCGTAGCTGTCAGCTTACAAGTTACCGCACGCGAAATGCTGCAGCAACTCTGACCTAACGTCACACTTACGCAGTTTACATGCAGCTTCAATTCCTTCACGGCACAACAGCAGAAACAAGCGATTCCTCCATTTTCTGTACTCTCTGAGCTTTTTTCGAGTGATTCGAATGCTAGTATTGATACCTAGCCCAAATATCAGGAATAAGTATCGATTTGTAGCATGCAAAATCAATAATCACCTGTGAGGACCAGCTGTACAAGCCTAATCCAATCCAAGATTGGTGGTGGCTCAAAGGGAATTGCAGAATTTCGTGGTCACGTTTTCCGCTGCCCCTTGTTATCGCCATCTGTCCGTTTCGATAAATGATTATAGCTGGCATGCTTAGCTTGTAGATTTTTAGGTTTTCAGCTTTTACAGCTTACCAACTATAAACGGAAATGGTCATTTATTTTGACCCCTTAATTTGTCGAAATTGAAGTTCCTGCCTCTTTTCAAGCAGATAGAATATGCCACTTGAGGTGCTTAGAATGAACTTTTTGCTGTTAGGATTCTGCGGAGAGGACATCATCTGAATCTGTATATTTGTATGGTCGATGAACTTTATCAGAATCGCCAGTAATCATGTACTATCACTAAAATGTATGGAATAAATTAATGAAATTCTTTATTCGATCCAAACATTAAATTCATACTTAGCTCACAACCAGCTAGGGAGGGCTAGCGGTTGATAGTCCACCATCATCATCACCACAAGTATTACACTTCATCTCAATTGAAACGTAACGGTATTGACAGTTTGTAAGAATAGTAGGAGTGTTTAGTTCGTTTTTTGTATGCTGCTAGACATCTAGTAGATTACTAATAACGGCTTATTATTATTGGTTATGTTATCATTATTTATCGACCGAATCCTGAGTAGTTGTAAGCCCATGCCCGGTCCCTCTCCTCCCTCTACCATTCTTTTTAGGAGCTGTGCTAGATGTTCCTGTAGTCGTCATGGTCGTTGTCATTGTTGTTTGTGCAGCCAGCTTATCCTGCATTATTGCTTCTGCCTACAATCACTTTTGGTCCCAATCTGCAAAGTATGTAGTCAAATTGAAACTAGTGGGCCGGGCTGTACGGTGGGCGGAGCTGTCCCGTTTCCTATTGGATAGAACTGGGTGGAGAGCGGATAGTGCCACCCACAACAGCCCAACCTCACATGGTGTTGTGTCATACCTCGGATAGGTAACGATGCGCGAACAGTTGCTCTATCGTAGCTCTTTTCTCGACATCACGTTGGATACACTTCTGAAAATTCTTCTTCACAGAACGAATTCCACAACAAGACTGCTTTTCATCTGGTTTCTCGCTATGTATTGTGCCATTAGCCCCATCAGGAAGCGAAATGCGATTTACAATAGGCAGAAAATACTTTTTTTTCTCCTAGGAAGCATGGGAGTAGGAGATGACTGCGCGAAGGCGAATTCTCGGCCTACCCAAGGCTTATGAGAGTTTGAGGAAATGTTCTTGTTCCTCCTTAGGGTCTTCTAGAGGTGCAATGTGACTTTGCCGGCATGCCTTCTCCAATTAAAGTTTAAAAGACGAAGTTCCTGGCGTTGATCGGTCCCGTCTGAGTGGTGCGCCCCCGCACTCGACTTCCATTCAGAATCGTAGTGGCGTGGTGAGTGCGTATGTGGCCTATACAATGACTTGCTGTGGCAAGCCGGTGTACAAGTCAGTGCTTTTGTCCTCCCAAACGAGTCTGGTACCAATTACCCGGCCCCGGAGGGATGGAAGGCTTGGTTAGCCTAGGCGGACATCAATCCGGGATTCGAACCCCTGACCATGCGTGTGGGGTAGTGCACCACGTGCCACTACACCACCTCCGCCCTTTTCCATTACCTCAAAGAATTCCGTTATGGCAGGATCGGCATGGATGTCATGTTGTAGCCGTATGTTCGGATCCAAAATGGCCAACATCTGGAAGATGAAATGAGTGATGATGGAAGGTCAGCAACATGCAGACATAGCTCCTTACATTCTTGTTGGTATAATTACTGAACGGCTTACGACCATACGTCATTTGGTATACAATGAAACCAAATCCCCAGATGTCCACTTTTTTAGTTAACTGAAATTGATGTCGATTTTCAATGCGTAAATGGTCTGAGCGGTTTTTTTTTTCTTAATAAGGCACTACCCACTTTGTAAGTACCGTCTTTTCTTGGAACTATTTGTTCAGGTGGCCGATTTGATCCGAACATAAAGTCTCGTATAACGTGGTCCTGTAAACATATTACTTTCAAAAAGCGTCGATTCCCAGTTCAAAGTCCAGAGTAGTACGAAATTACCGAGGAAAACGCAAAAATGGGCATATTTAGAGGGATACAAGTCTATGGAGAAGGAGCAATGCTAGGGGTTGGTAATTGGACAAATGTAAGCCGTTTCCCACCCGTCTTTTGTGCCCTTGGGGGTCAAAGGTTTATCCCTGCAAGAAATCTCAAAAAACATTTCATCGCGAGCGCTGCTTTCATCTTTAGGCTCCTATCGTACTCTTGCTTGTTTGAATGTTAGGTGCCTGAAAGTTTCTATTATTTTTGATTTCTGTCACGTTTACGGTTATACTTGGGAGCAGAGAAATCGGTGATCCCCCCCNCCCCCCCTCTCCTCCTCCCCCCGTCCGTTTCACTCGGGTTACCTACCATCAGTACATTCTCAGCAGTCTAAAAATTTCCAGGAAATGAGAACTTACTTCATTTTTGCGCAGGGTGGCTGAGAGTCCGAAATCAACAAGTTTTAAAGTGCCACTGATAATTAGCACATTTGCTAGTTTAATATCGAGATGAATTATAGCTGGAACTTAAAATGAAATGAGATCGGAAATGGCCTGAAAATGGGGAAATGGAATGGGATTATGACCGCACGCACAGTTTTCATGCATTTCCTGTATACCCTTGCCAATCTCGTAGGCGTACAATCTCACAGTGGCCGCATCCAACGTGCCTTTATTCTTCTTTACTTCCGATTCAAGATCACCATCACCCAACTCTAACACCATCCGGAGTATGGTGTTGTTTGCAATGATATCGCTGAAATACTGCAAGTTACAAGTGCAGATGGAGGAAAGGTACAGGACGCGTGCGGTTGCGGTGCGTTGGACCAGCCTTGACCTAATGGCAATTCGCCGGGAATCGCAGTGGATTGAATATTCGAGCGTTTTCAACTGGGTTTTGAAGCGGCATCTGTTAGACGGCGAATTGATTTACTGCAGCTGCAACCGGGGTTTTATGCGTTAGGAACCAAATGGTCGCGTCGCGGTGAGAGGGGCGTCGTGCGCGAAGGAATGTAGCAGGATGCAGCAGTGGGTAATACAAGAACAAAAGTACTAATAGCAGAATTATGTATAGAATAATGATCGTATATCGATTGAGCTGTATGAAGAATGCTAGAGCTGTCATAACGGCGAATGAGTGGTCCGCGACAGCCGCGTGCGGCGAATCGATTACCCAAAATCGTTCCTAACGCCCGTCTCCCGCTGCAACCGCAGTGCGACCGCGCGCGTCACGCGGGTGCTGTCCTCTCGAGTTTCGCTCTTAGAAGGCTGAGTACCAACAAAAGTGAATAAACAAACTGTGCAATCAAGTCGATAATGTGTGGGCAGTTTTTGAGCGTTTGCAGACGTTCCACCTCTCCTCGATAAATTTCAGCATTTTGGCGGAGTGAAGTTTCTTTCAAAGCGAATGACGTCCCATTGTCTTCTCTGATAATCTCGAAAACCTGGTATGAATTAGCATATACCAAAGGTAGGTTTAGTGGTGGACGACAAGCTATCCAAATGGCATACAGATCCACTGCCTCCTGTGCCAAGTATTCGCTTTTTCTTGTATTTCACTCCATCGATGACTACCGTATCGCCTATCTGCAATGAAGTATTGTCCTTCCCTGTTGTGAGGGAATCGTAATCCCGTTCTTTCTGTTTACTTTCGAGATTATTTATGAAAAACATCGATTGGGTGGATGCATCTTCCACTCAGGCAATTTCTAGTAATCTATCACCTCAACATCCGTCACTATCCGCCAAGGGTTCACGTCCTTATTTCGAAGCAGATCCAGAATGACCGTAGCACAAATTTTGTCTGACGGTCTACTGAGCAACAGCAATGCTTCAGAAAGCGAACTTCCCGAGATAGCGAGCATGTCGCTATTGGTTCTGATCGTATTCGGGATCTGGGTAGGCCAGACGTATTTCCCTTTTGAAGGACTGGGATCTGGCCAGCTAGGAAATCGTGACCTGGTTAATTCGGGTAGTCGGGACGCCATCACTTCGCAGTGCGTCACTTACGCGACTTTTTCACGGAAATTTCAGAGTTTTGACTCGAAAATTTTTGGGCTGTTGAACATCGTTGAAATCTTACTGAGCCGCCAGGTGTGGTGGGCGGAGAGTTGGATGGAGATCTTGAATCGACTAGACTGCTGGCAGGTCTGTAATTGAAATAAACATACAATTAGGAACATATGTAGGGAGCAGCTGATGTCTGGATACGCAAAGGGGAAGTGAAGGCTTAGTGAGCTATGGTTGATAGCGAGCTGCAACTACGTCTCCCATTACGCGAGGAGTCTGATGATCGAGAAGTCTACTCGCATTGAGTTAGACAATGATAGCCACCAGCCGTCCTGGGCTCTTAAGATTTTTTCCATGCCTTTTCTACCTTTTTCATAATTTATACTTCCATCGTGATGGTATGCTACGCATACGCACGCGGCATTTTAGCTCTGGCAATCGGTCGGCTAATCATAATGAGGATTTAACTTTTTTTAAGTGTGGCCAGATAGAAACGAGGCAAATTTTGTTGAGAGCTGATTTCATGGCGCATTTCAAAGGAATCTCCCTTTTATTTATGGCTTTCTGATTCCTCTTCGGTGTTACTAATTTTACTAAATTGTGTGAAATCGATTGAAGCATAGAGTGGGCCGTTACTTTTAGAAACATTCCCATAGAGTGTCTTACTTTACTTTTCCTTGATTTTTGCGCTTCTTTGGTCCTGACTGTTGTGACTTGGTCTGGGATGTCTTCCCACTTTTCTTGTCTTTTTTCCCTGGTGGCCGTTTTGACTTTGATTTTGATTTGTTTTTTCCCATTTTCTCTGGACACCTGTCATATTTGATGTCATTGTTACTTGCCAGCATAGCATATGTCATTCTCTTGAAACTCATCATCCTACATTTGGGCGAAAGTGGCGTAGTGGCAAAGGTCGCCCTATCACACATGCATTGCTCGGGATCGAATTCCAGATTGATATCCACCAACCGTTCCATCCCATCGTGGTCGGCTTACTGGTAGGAAGGTCGGTTACGCCTATCCCTATCCGATAGCAACGTAATGCACCGTAGACAAGCCTGCTATCCAGTCACCTTAGTGATCATTCAATGCACCCTACCTCTTACCTACTCTGTAATCCCGTAACGTACATTTGTCTGTCCTCCTTCAGTGAGCGATCCAGCAGCGGACACAGTGCTGGCCTTGCTGGATGACTGGTGGACAGTTTGGACAGTTCGACTCAAACGGACGGGTGTTTGACTTTGGACCTGAATGACGTGCCGCACAGCCGGCTTATCGGAGCGCTGGGCTCAGTGCAAGGGTGAGGTCTGGATTCCCAGTGGTTGATTATGGTAATTGTTGCAGAACTACTGCCGCACGCCACCTGAAACAGGCCCAGTTCACCTTCCCTCCATTGATAAAGTGTGGGCTGAGCTCAGTATAATCAAAAGGCCATTCAGCACCGGATAAGTCTAGGTGTCAGATCGGATGCAGGCCCGGGTGGGTGATATGAAATGGGCTGAAAGCGCAGCAAACAAACGTCCGGCCTTGAGGCAACAAGATCGAAGGTTCGCGCCCTTAATCTTGCTGCCTCAAGTTCAAAAGCTGTTAATGAGCGTTCGATCCTTTTTCAGGAAGTTTTTCCTCATATTCCTGTTCATGATTGCCTCTCTGATTTCCCGATGAGTCCACTCGGAAAAAGCAGATGCCTTGGCGATACGGAACCGCTTCTACGTCGCACTTCCGTTGGAATTGAAACAAAACTGACCTTACAGCCGTCACGAGTTTCGCTCAAACCACATCCGAGTTAGAAAAGACTGAGAATGGAAGCTACTCACACCAACAGCTGTGATACAGAATGATACGAGCGCTTATCAACACCAGTTTATACTCGGCAGTGTTAAACGAATATGCGAAATAAATCTTCAACCTATGATCATTCTGTTCATTATAGCATGGAGCAACATCAACTTCAAGCGCTAAGTCCCTTTGAAAGAGCGCAGACACGCAAACCACAGTATATAGTAGAGGCATGGTTAAGCAACCAAAGGAACGTTTCCAGGTCCAAAACCAATTAGGACTAGGGTTCCAGTGAAATTGAGTTCAGATGATGGGCCTGCTAGTAAATCCATAAAATTTGAATGTCGATTGTGGGTTGTGTGAAAGACGAGGGAAAGAGAGGCTGTCTTGGGAACCACAAGAATCGTAGCCCCACCACAAGGGTACTGTAGCCCAGCGTTGCTCACTATGTGTTACATGCCCTGAACAGTCTATGGCAATTCTAGACAGCTCGTTCCCGTCAACTCGAGAGTTATGCTGACTTTGTTGTGAAAATTTTGGAAAACACAGGTGGTGGAGAAGGTGGAACAGTAGAAGATGTAGAAAACGGGGCAACATTTGCTCACTGACCCTAATGAAATAAAGTAGCCTGGGTGAAGCTACCAGGAGGGATCCTGCTACAGAATTCGTTCATGGCCTGGAAAATACCGTTCTTCAATCGTCTGAGGGATTGCTTTGTGAATTAATCTTCAAAAGCTGGATCATTTCTTTGTTGAGAAGCAGTTTCTCTTCGTTTCTCCATCTGCGCCGTTAGTATGCCGCTCAGTGATTTCCAAAATGAATCACTCTTCCCGAAGGGCGACAGGCAGTTCGGCCTTGATTTTGCTCACTTGCATGGTGGTAGGCGTGGCTACGGCTCGAAGAATACTACATCAGCCGAGACTGAACCTTCTGTTAGGCAGACTTGGTGTAACTTCGCTATCCGTTGAGCCATTGACACGCATTTCTTCGGTGACCATCCTTACTCAACGTAGTCCAGCATTGGGAAGTGGGAGTTTCTGCTAGCCCCCATTTGTGCGATGGCCGATGAGCCCTTCGTTTCGGCACAGGCTCAGCCCTCACCCCTTTCAATGGAAGAGGTCTTCAAAAAAAAANAAAAAAAAAGCCCGAACATGATTTCTACGCAAGGTAGCCATCAGAGACAAGGGCTTTTGCTAGCCCAAAATAGGTGGACAGCCGTTGAGAGGAAGTGGGCGTGGTCTCGGCTCGGTATAGTCCAGTATATGGAGTGTGGACTCGGCCGTTGAGCCGATCCCCTCAATTGCACCTGGTCAATATCATTACCGTATCTGTTACTGTTCGTAGTAAATAGTAAACATCATTGAGTGAGAAAGGACAGACAGCAAAAGATTGCCTCAGGGAAACAGAAGAGCGGTGGGTCTCGGCCCTCTTTCACTCTCTGCCAATGATTTTCACGGAGCACACGAGCAGTGTGGTGTACGGTGCTGTGATTGTACAATAGGCTGAGGCCCCCCTCAGTTGCCCTGGGGGCAAGCGAGATGGTGGAGTATGTCGGGCAGTGTTCGTGTGGTTCGGGCTTAGGGTAGAGCTTTGGCCTCACCTTCAGCTTAGGCTCGATGTTGTGCTTGAACTTCGATTTATGCCTTTACTTGAGCCTCGGCTTAGCTTTCAGATTAGGTATGAGCTTCGGCTCTACCTCTAGATTAGGTCAAAACTGGTATCCAGTTTGGCACAGGCTAAGGCTTAGGCTTGGGTTTAGTTCACCCTGCAGGTTAGGCTTAGGCTCCAGCTTAGGCTTGCCCTCCAGCCCAGGCTAGACTTAACCTTCGGCCACGTCTTCAGCTTAGGGCTTAGCCTTGGCCTTCAGCTTAGACTTCTGATTGGCCTTCAGATTAGGCTTGATCGGTCTATGCCCCGGATCAGCCCGCGTCCCAAGCTCGGCCTTCAGCTTGGACTTAAGCCTAGGGCCGAGCTTAGACTTGATCTTCGACTTGTGCTGTGGCTTAAGGCTCGGCCTAGCACTCGGCTTGAACTTCGGCACTTTACCCGCCTATGCAGCGTACCTTGCGCTGTTCAATGGGCGAAAACGTCTCGTCTGAAGACACAAAGAAAAATGGGCCCCAGAGTGAAGCCAAAGTATTGGGTGGTGCACGTTGAGCAGGTCATTGATCGAGGGGTCAACTGACGGCATGTTATCGCCCAACCCATCTCCCATCTAACCGAACTGCCGAGTTGAAATAATTAGCACCTGTGCCGTTGAGGTTGCTTTGTGCCATTTCTACCCACCAGCTGCCAGTGTAGTAGTTTGTAACTCCAGTCGTCAAGAAATCTTTCTATGAAGATGGCCCACAGATAGTCTTACAAGTACTGGTGGTCTGGAGAAAATGTTGATTCCCGGGCGTTGCCCCATTGATTTTTGACCATTTGGTTATTCATTGTCCAGAATGCTAAAACTAACCAGCCGAGATCGAAATTTGTGAGTTGTTTTTTGCCATTTTCGGATACTTTTTTCTTGCAGAACTTTATCATAACGTTGGTTCCCACTAGTGTAGACATCGAGGCATCATATCTGCCGTTATTACAGCAGTAACCCGTGGAAGGATGATTTTCGCCTGACCAAAATTTCACTTCATATGAGGATTGCATCTTATACAAATCGAAGAACCGAAGCCGAATGAGAACACTGAATAGATAGACACACAGATAGACACATAGACAATAGACATACTACAATTAGAATATCACTGATATAGGCTGGAAGCTTGACTGTTCACAAATTTATATCACTTTCAGATGATTTTATGGAAACTTCATTTTCTCAACTTCAAAAGTGCTTCTGATCGGCGCATTTCCAACCATTCCTTTTGTTTCAGAGCCACTTCGGCTAGATAGTCGGCATGTTCCTAAACGACATTCAAAGCCATTTTCCAAATCTTCTATTGATTCAAACAAGATCAATTGAAACCAATGAATGGAGGGGAACTGAAATGTTTGCTCGACCAAGGAGAGTATATGAACTATCCCTTTCAGAGTACATGAGGGAGCAATAAAAACATATCACGCCCTAGCCAAAAATCGGACATCAGAGGAGCAGAGTTGATCAGAACTCAGACCATCTCGTCTATGCTATCCACTTGCAATCCGAACCCTCTCCTATCTTCTTAAGTGATCGCAAAAAATGAATAGAATAAAGTTCTCACCTTGCCATAAGTCGGTGTGGAAAGTTTCTGAATTCTTTCCGTTAGATGGTTCACATCATTCGTCAACGATTCCATTTTGCCGGTGTTAAACAGAGCTTCAACGGGAGTCTCAGCAGCTTCGATAAGCTGAATGAATAGCGAAATATCCTTGTGTCTTTGTCAGAAAAAAAGATGCCCCTAATTGAAAAGAGCAAGGGAGAAGCAAATAAATGATATGATCTTGAGGCATACTGCGTGGCTGGCGCGAAGAATTCCATCAAACTCACGATGTCGTTCATTTTTCTCGAATCTATAAAAAATCGCAAGCCTATTCAGCCGAAAATTTTTGAACAAAGTCCTCACCTCTCGATAAATCGCTCGATTTCTGTTCGAACAACTGGCGTGTGATCGAAAAGGTGCTGTCCTACCAGTTGTGTGTCGCGCATAACTGTTGGAAGAGACATGCTGGTACGGATCTGCCAAAGCTCAACTATCATACATCAGTACGCACCAGTCTAGCCATCATCGAACCACTGGTTTCGAACTATCGGAAAACGAAAGAAGGGACAGGCAGTCTGGCGTTGGCCTTCAAAAGCATCAAGAAAAAATTTCAAAAAAGGGAACTGATGACGAAGACCCACTGCGTCAAAACTTCATAACAAATTTACGCAATTAAAGAGCAAAAATAAGCAAATTCATGGTAATCCCGCTCCCGGCGGGTGGAGATTATCAGCTGGCGAGCACATGCGTTCATGATGGAAGTAATACAGTCAGAATGCGAAATTTCGCAATCACAAATTGACGGCTGAAAAATAATGAAAGTAACAGCTGAAGTAGGTCAAACATTCCTCATTGTAAGATCTTCTCAGAATAAATTGCGAAGGAATCATCAGAACTGACGACTGCAGCAAAATTTTCCCACCTGCTTTTTCACAGAACTCTTTCCAGAACCTTTGTTTATAATGCTTCGCAACACGTTTAAAGACGACGTTAATAACTATAGAAGTCCGGATTGCGCCTTGTACTCAATTTCTGTCATTTTTGATGAAGCAATTGAAAGGTCACAGAGTTACTACAACGTCGGTTTTGAAGCCCAAACTGGCTAGAAAAATGATTTCAAAGTTCATCTCAACATTCACCAAAAATGATGCCCAGAATTACTAAAGTAGCGGAAGTCAGGTTTGCACCATGTACATATGATAAGCGCCGAAGCGATCGGAATGCTACAGAATAATAGCAGCGATGATTTCAAAGTCCAACTGACCAGAAAACATGATTCTGGGCTTATTTCAAAATATACTGATAAATGATACTCAGAACTATCGAAATAGCGAGAATCCTAGAAAACACATTTTAACCCATTGACAACCCGGCGAGCCACACCATATCGTGCTCGTGTAGTATTTATATTATTTATCAGGTGTTCTTATAACTTTTTTCAAGTTTTCAAGTATCAGGTGAGCTCACTACCTTCTAGAGAATCTTGAGACATAATGGCCCAGTAATCACCCACTTCCAACTACAGTTATAAGGGAAACTAAAAGTTAATGTAAGGCAATGTAAAATGCGCGCTCGCCAATGGGTTAAACGAAGAGAGGTAAAGTTCTTTGGAAATTTTATAGTTGGAGTGGGGTCAGTTACCGAAATACCAATAATTCCAAAGTTCGACTAAGTTCGACTTTTAGGTAGGGATTCATCGAATTTCGCAAGAAATACAGATGAAGCTCGACGCACTGAGTCCATTGGCAATGACCACATTGATTGATCGCGCCTGTGAACCGAGAAATTATCGATTTTTTGAAAAAAATCCGGAAAAATTTTTGCTCCAAATATCGCAAAAAATAGGTTCCTCAGATGCAGCTCGACGCGCTGAGTCCAATGGCACCGACCACATTGATTGATCGTGCCTGTGAACCGAGAAATTATCGATTT